TGTAACCTGCCTTTCCTTGTTTGTTGGCATCTGTATAAAATGTACGAACTCCAGATATGGGTTTTTTCCTCACAATTTGAGGCAAGATCCAATCAGCTCTCTTTATAAGATCAATTCTATTGCTTTTGGGATATTTGCTGTTAATTTCTCCCAAAAAATTACTACAAGCTTTTTGCCAAGCTTCATTTTCTATCCATAATTTTTCAATGTCCTCCTTAGTTAAAGGTACGACAATTTCTGCTGGGTCTATTCCTGCTAATTGACGAAGTCTCAATTTTCCTTTCCAAATCAAGTCAGAGATTTTTTCCACATAAGTTTTTAATTTTTTATTTGGTTTATTTGGTAAAAATATCCATTCCAATATAATATCTTCCCTTTGCATTAATATTCCTGTTGGGGAATGCCTAGAAGGTAAAATAACCAAAATGCAATCCAGCTTTGGATCAATACGATCTACGTGCCCTTCATGTACTTTCTTTTCTACCAAGGCCAATTCTTTCTCAGCTTCAGGTGATAATTCTCTTGGACTATTTAAGTCCTTATCACCTTCTAAGGTTTTAAACAAATTATTCAGTTCATCATTTTTTACCCCAACAATAGTTCTTAGATGAGAAATGTCTCCAAATAATCTTTGAAAGTCATTAAGAGTCTGTAGTCGATCTCTCCTAATTTGCACTTTTTGAGGTCTAATTTTTTGAAGTTCTATTTTATATCCTAAATAATTAATAGAATCTCCTCTTTGTACCTTTTCTAAAGCAATTTGTAATCCCCAGCAAGGCAAAATTTTCTTTACTTTTTCAAACATTCTTTCTAAAGTATCTGCATTTGAATCAGCTAATAAAATGTCATCCATATAATGATAAATTATAGATTTAGGAAATTTTTTACGTACCACTTCTAATGGCTGTTTTACAAAATATTGGCACAAAGTTGGGCTATTCAACATTCCCTGTGGGAGAACCCTCCATTGAAATCTTTTAACCGGTTGAGAATTATTATAAGTAGGCACTGTGAAAGCAAATCTTTCTCTGTCTTTTTCTTGTAAGGGTATTGAAAAGAAACAGTCTTTTAAATCAATAACTATGAGAGGCCAGCCTTTTGGTAACAGAGTAGGTAAAGGAATTCCAGATTGTAAAGAGCCCATTGGCTGAATTACTTTGTTAATTGCTCTAAGGTCTGTTACCATTCTCCATTTACCAGATTTTTTTTTTTATAACAAATACAGGAGAATTCCAAGGGCTGGTTGATTCTTCAATATGATGAGCATTTAACTGTTCTTCCACCAGCTCTTGTAAAGCCTGGAGTTTCTCTGTTGTTAAAGGCCATTGCTGAACCCATACAGGCTTGTCTGTTGACCATTTTAAAGGTAGAGCTGTTAATGTTTTTGGAAGATTATCAGTTGTTGTGCCCTGTTCTTGTATGACATGGATGGCTGGTGAGCACTCATTAGAATAATATCTTTTAATATTTCTCTCAGAAACATGTACTAATTTATGATTTGTTTCTGAGATTGGAGGGATATTAATCTGAGTATTCCATTGTTGTAACAAGTCTCGACCCCACAGGTTCATAGCTATGTTAGCCATATATGGTTTTAATTTTCCTTTCTGTCCTTCTGGACCTATACATTCAAGCCATCTTACACTTTGTTTCACTCTAGATAATGTCCCAATTCCTAAGAGTTGAATGTTTACCTCCTGAAGAGGCCAAGTTGGATGCCAAAATTCTGGTGCAATTATGGTAATGTCAGCACCTGTGTCTACCAGACCAGACAACAAAACACCATTTATTTTTATTGTTAGTTTTGGTCTTTGTTCATTAATAGAAGTTTGCCAAAAAATTTTCTTTATGTTTTTTCCTGTATTTCCTATTTTCTCTGTTTCATCATCTCGACTAACATGATTTATTCCAATAGACATTTGGTTATTTAGTTGCTTTGAGTAGGGGTTTCCTCTACAACTGCAGGAAAGGTTTGAACTGGATTTACTGTGGGGGCCTGCCTGAGGCCCCTCTGGGAGTTTCCCGAAGCTCGAGGCAGAGGGTTACCCTGTCTGTCCCTTGTTGATCTACATTCGTTGGTCCAGTGTTTTCCCTTACCACACCTTCTGCATACTCCAGAAGGAAGGGGCATTCTGTTGCCAGTGTTCCTTGAATAAACATTATTTCTAGGAATGACCTGTTTACAATCCCTTTTCAAATGTCCTTGCTTTCCACATCCAAAACATCTAACATTGCTCAAACCTTTTGGAATTGCTTTTCCTACCCACATATCATCATGATCATAAGCCTCTACATTAACTGTATCTCTAATCCAATCTTCCAAAGGTGCAGATCTTGCCTTTAACGGCCTAATTATTCTTTTGCACGCTGCATTTGCATTCTCAAAGGCTAAAGATTCAATTATTATCTGACTAGCCTCTGAATTCGGGACCATTTTTTGTACTGCTGAAGTCAATCTTTGTAAGAAATCTGTGAAAGATTCTTTGGGGCCCTGTATAACCTTTGTAAATGACTCAGTTTTTTTTCCTGGTTCTTCAACTCTGTCCCATGCATTCAAAGCTGCCGTTTTACATAGAAGTAGGGTTTGGACATCATATGAACATTGTGTTTGTACTGAAGCATATTGGCCTTCGCCAATAAGCTGATCCTGGCAGACTTGTATTCCGCTATCCCTCCATTGTCTTTCTATATGTTTAGCCTCATTACTGAACCACATTTTCCACTGGAGATTTTGTCCGGGTTCAAGAACAGCCTGTGCCAATTCCCGCCAGTCCTTTGGTATAATCCTATTACAAGTTGACCAGGTGTTTAACATTTGCTTTACATATGGGGAGTGCATGCCATAAGATGCTATTGCCTCCTTAAATCTTCGTAAGTCTAACATTTCAACTGGAACCCAAGTATTTTGTTCATTCTCTTCATCAGGTAGCTGCTGTACGGCTACTGGATAAATTAAGGGTGATTGTGTGAAAACTGGCTTTCTTTCTGTAACCTTAGGATCCAATTTTGAAACAACTTCACTATTTATTTCTTCTGTCTGAATTTGAATTTCTCTATAATTCATTTTTACCGGTTTAACAAGTTTTTCTAAGACTGTTATCCTGGCACTTAAGTTGACGATCTTTTTAAATAGTAAAATGAGGATAAGAAAAGTAATAAACTGAATAATTCGATCAATATTAATCTTTTCATATAGTTGTTCCATTGTCAGAGTGCCTAAAATTTCAAACGAAGCCCAATTTTCTTCCAATGTACACATAAAGCCCATTTTTTTTTTAATGTAGAAAAAAATTCTCTTTTAAATAGATATGTTAATTGACTTACCAAGTCTGGGTAGAACAGTAGAATCCCAGGGAATTTCACAGCCACCTGGTGTTCGAGGTGTGAATCCAGCGAGAGAGAGAGAGAGAGAGAGAGAGAGAGAGAGAGAGAGAGAGAGAGAGAGAGAGAGAGAGAGAGAGAGAGAGAGAGAGAGAGAGAGAGAGAGAGAGAGAAAGTGTAGCCGCTTGAGCCGAGTCAAGCCTTGGCTTTACAGGCAGGGGCCCTGTTCAGCAGGGCAGGTCTGAGTTGTTTGTAGTAGTTGCAAGTAGCTCCAGCTGCGGGTCAGTCAGGCCTGGGCCCAAGCTAGGCAGCCGGGCCGCCCAGGCTGGAAACCGGACCTGCCGCCAAGCCAAGCCAAGTGGTTTTTAATGAATTCTTGTCACGTTGGGCGCCAAATGTAGATGTATCCAACCTTCTTATTAAATAATAAACACAGAACCAATGCAAAGAAGAAAGCCAAGAGGTCAGAGCTAAGAGCTAAAACCTTACCCTTCCTCCTGCGGTGGTCCTACCTCTCCGAACCAGAGCTACCCCTGTGTTAAAGTCTTTATATAGAGTTCCTGTCCTGCCTTCTCATTGGTTGTAAACCCAACCACATGACCGCCTCCTCACAGCCTGTCTGTATAGGCCTCCAGGTTTTCCATGATTGGTATTAAGATTAAAAGCATGTGTATCCAATAATGGCTGTATCCCTGAACACACAGAGACTTACCCAGCTCTGCCTACCAAGTGCTGGAATTACAAGCGTACGCTACCACTGCCCTGCTTTCCTATGGCTTGCTAATAGCTCTGACCCCCGGGCAACTTTATTTATTAACATACAAATAATATTTTAATACAAATAAAATATCACCATAGCTAAATGTCTTTTTTGTTTTGTATTTTTTTTTTTTTTTTTTTTTGGTTTTTTGAGACAGGGTTTCTCTGTGTAGCTTTGCGCCTTTCCTGGAACTCACTTGGTAGCCCAGGCTGGCCTCGAACTGGCAGAGATCCGCCTGGCTCTGCCTCCCGAGTGCTGGGATTAAAGGCGTGCGCCACCACCGCCCGGCCTTGTTTTATATTTTTTTTGAGAGAATGTCTTACTATGTAGACCAGGCTGGCCTTGAGCTCATCTACCTCTACTTCCCAAGTGCTAGGATTAAAGGAATAGTAACCATATTCAGCCTCTAAATGTCATTTTGATCTGTGATTATGACTTGTGAATGTTCGTATATTTAAATTTTATAACCACTGTGAATGGGAGGAAGATAACTTATCTGATAATACTACCTTTTAAGAAAACATGGAAGATTTTAGTGGTAACATCTTATCAGATGCCCAGTGCTTGTAAGGTGATTATTAAATTCTAACACTTCATATTGATATTAATTAGAAAAGTATACCTGGATTCATATCTTGGTTTGACCCTCTAAAATTTGCGTGATTTTGAACAAATTTTAAAAAAATTACATCAATTCATTTGTGTGTGCGTGTGCACATTAATGTGGTGGTCAAAGGATGAATTGTGGGAGTCTGTTCTCTCCTTTGATCTGTGGGTCCTGAGGAACAAACTCAGGCTGTCTGTCTTGGTGCCAAGCACTTTTACAGTTTCTTCTTAAATTTTATTGCTCTGAGAATATTTTGACTGACCATAAAATCTTTAGGCAAAATATAAGGAATTTCTTTCTTTTTTTGTTAAGGAAATGGAATCTAGTTCATCAGACAACTATAATAAAGACAACGACAATGAGGAAGAAAGCTTGCTTGCAAATGTTGCTTCATTAAGACATGAACTGAAAATAACAGAATGGAGTTTGCAGAATTTAGGGGAAGAGTTATCCAGGCAAGGAAATAAAATCACATGTATAAATTAAAGTATTAGTTTATAAATGTAAAATGACTAGATTTCATTATATGTTATGTTTAATATGCCTCTGGACTAAGGTATAATTTTTCTATACTTTTTAATACAATTCAGTTTGTGAAAATGGAATTTTTTTTTTTTTTTTTTTTTTTTTTTGGTTTTTCAAGACCAAGTTTCTCTGTGTAGCTTTGCGCCTTTCCTGGAACTCACTGTGTAGACCAGCTCACAGAGACCCACCTGCCTCTGCCTCTCGAGTGCTGGGATTAAAGGCATGTGCCACCACTGCCTGGCAAAAATGGAAATATTAATGATCATTTATATATTTAAAAAAAATCTTGCTGGGCAGTGGTGGCAAATGCCTTTACTCCCAGCACTTGGGAGGCAGAAGCAAGTGGATCTCTGCGTTCGAGACCAGCCTGGTCTACAGAGTGAGTTCCTGGACAGCCAGAGATACACAGAGAAACCCTGTCTCAAAAAACAAACAAAACAAACAAAAAACAGGACTGGAGTTAGTTAAAATAAGCAACAACAACAAAAAAATCAAACACCTTTAATATATCAGGAATCAGTATAAAATGTATATTCAGCATTTTATTAATCTTTCATTATTATAGCTATTTTTTTTTCTTTTACTCCTGAAGTAAAGCTATTCAGGAAATTCATAGATAGCTAATATAAACTAATTGTGATTTATGGAAAATGTATTGGAAACACCATCTTATGTTCATAGCTGTGGATCTAATTTCTAATTGTTATATGTGGAAATTTGTGATAAAAAACTATGTCAGACTGAAATGTAATTTTTCTTTGTTCTATAGTGTTAGTCCAAGTGAAAATTCTGATTGTGTCTGCAATTCTTCAAGATCTGAAAGGCTTATTTTGGAAGAGCTTACTCAACCTAGCTGCCTGGGACATTTAAATTACCCACTTTATAAGAAAGTTTGTAAAACATCTGGTAGTACTGATTTTCAAAAGAAACCAAGAGATAAGGTTATTATTTTTAAAACCTGACTATTTAAAATAGTTTTCTTTACATGCCTTATTCATGTTTTCCGTAGTCTTTTACTACAGTGTTTGAGATTGGAATATAATTCTTCTTGTTAAATATTGTTATATGTGTATGAGTCCTTGACCTGCAATTATGTTGTAGAGGTAAGAAGTAGGTGTTGGATTCCTTGAAACCAGAATTATAGATGGTAACTTCCAGTTGTGAGCTTCTATGTGGATGCTAGGAATTGAACCCAGATCCTTGAGAAGAGCAACCAGTGATTTTAATTGCTGAGCCATTTCCCTGCTCCATAATTGTTCCTTCTATATCCTGACTTTTCATGCAATGAAAACTCCACAGTTAAGAGGAAAACTTATGAATTTTTCATTGTATTTATTATGGAGAAATTGCCAGTTTATATTATTTAAATAAAAAATATAAAATAGGGCTGGAGAGATGGCTCAGTGGTTAAGAGCACTGACTGCTCTTCCAGAGGTCCTGAGTTCAATTCCCAGCAACCACATGGTGGCTCACAACCACCTGCAATTAGATCTGGTGCCCTCTTCTGCCCTGCAAAGACACATGCAGGCAGAACACTGTATACATAATAAATAAAATAAATCTTAAAAAAAAAAATATATATATATATATATATATATATATAAAAATAATAGGTTAGCTTTGTATAAAGAGAAAAGGCAAGTGAGTAATTATTTATATATATCTGGAATCACTAGAGAACTAAATTATAAATTTGCAGTAAAAAGCTAGGCATGGTTGTGTGTAGTGATATTTTGTTGTACTCTAATAAAACTTGCCTGAAGATCAGAGGACAGAGCTAGCCACAGATTTAGCCAGGTCAGGCAGTGGTGGTACACATCTTTAATCCTAGTACTCAGGAGGCAGGAGGCAGAGGCAAAGATCCCTCTGGATCTCTGAGTTCAAGGCCACCCTAGACTACACAAGAAACAGAGCCAGGCAGTGGTGGCACACACCTTTAATCCCAGCACTAGGAAGGTTGAGATGGGGAGTGAAATGGCTATGTGAGAAAGGCATATAAGGCATGAAGGGACAGGAACTCAAGAGGCCCTTTCAGCTGAGGACTCAGGGGCATTCAGTCAGGATTCATGGAGTTGGTGAGGTGAAAAATGGCTGTGGCTTCTTCCTTTGTCTCTCTGATCTTTCAGCATTTACCCTAATATCTGGCTCTGGGTTTTTAATAAAAGACCATTTGGCGCACGCCTTTAATCCCAGCACTCGGGAGGCAGAGCCAGGCGGATCTCTGTGAGTTTGAGGCCAGCCTGGTCTCCAAAGCGAGTTCCAGGAAAGGCGCAAAGCTACACAGAGAAACCCTGTCTCGAAAAACCAAAAAAAAAAAGACCATTTAGGTTCCACGCAACAGTCGTGGCTCATGACTATCATCCTAGCACTTGGAAGACCAAGGTAGGAGAATTGCTATGAGTTTCAGGACAGCGTGGCCCGAAACCTTATTCCAAATAAATAAACCAACAAAAAGGCTGAAGATATAATGCTGTTGGTAGAATGTTGCTTAGTTAGCATGGGCCTTGTGTTTGATTTTGAGCACCTCATAAATTAGGCATGGTGAGTTTGTCCAATAACTCTAGCACTCAAGAGGTAGAGGCAGGGGGATTAGAAGTTCAGTCATCCTTGTATATATAGGAATTTGAGATCAACCTGGGTAAGCGAACCTAGCTAAAAAAAAGTTAATGTGTAAAACAATTAGCTACTGAAGATGGCAGGATGTGTTTTTGTATGCCTTTTCTTTTATGTCGCTTTTATAATCTGTACATATGTTTCTCAAAATTTTGAAAATAATAAAATGTATTATAAGATATATTTAACAGCATAGTAAAAATACATGCATAAGTTAAAGAATGTTTTGTTTCATTGTTGGTTGGCATATGTATTCCTTCCATATCCTCTTTTATACACAGAGTGACTGTGAATATCTTCAGGTGCAGAAATCGAAAAATTACTGTCATATTTATACTCAGGAGTGATATTGTTGACTTATCAAAATATACCCTAGTTTAATAAAGTGTACCATTGTTCAGTTTATACTTAATTGGACTACACAAGTGGGTCAGACCGTTGTCTCACCTTTGTTTTATCAGTACCCCCAAATCTCATTGTCCTGTGTTGTTTAATAATTTTAATGGCAATTATTGCCATTTTCTACTAATTATATATAACATCAAAGAATTTCATGTACATTGTTCTTTATTTTCAGGTGTCTTTTTCATCTGCTTCTGTGGATCAAGAGATTAAAAGCCTTCGAGAGAAACTTAATAGACTTAGGCAACAGAATGCTTGTTTGGTCACACAGAATCATTCTTTAATGACTAAAATAGAATCTGTCCACTTTGAATTGACACAGTCAAAAGCAAAAGTATGTCTCTTGACGTGTTAAGAGAATATTTATAATATCTTACGATTTATAATTGGAAAATATTTATATTGCCTATCTAGCAGGTAGAAAATTTTATATGCTACTTGAATATTGACAAGGGATGAAATCATTATATCTGAAGCTAATTTAGGATAAGTTTTAATTATTTTTTCAGTTAGGTAAATCACTTTTTTTTTTTTTTTTTTTTGGTTTTTCGAGACAGGGTTTCTCTGTGTAGCTTTGCGCCTTTCCTGGAACTCACTTGGTAGTCCAGGCTGGCCTCGAACTCATAGAGATCCGCCTGGCTCTGCCTCCCGAGTGCTGGGATTAAAGGCGTGCGCCACCACCGCCCGGCCACTTTTTTTTTTTTTTTTAATTTAAGTTATGAGTGTTCTGTCTTCATGTATGCCTACACACCAGAAAAGGGCATTAGATCCTGTTATAAATGGTTTTGAGCCACCATGTGGTTGCTGGGTATTTAGCTCAGACCTCTGTCAGAGCAACCAGTGCTCTTAACTACTGAGCCATCTCTTCAGCTCAAATCAACTTCTTAAAATTGTTAGAAACTTAGAAAGTAGAAAAAAAAAAGGGACTGGAGAGATGGCTTAGTGGTTAAAAAGCATCTGTTCAGTTCCCAGCACCCACATAGTGGCTTACAACCATCTGCAACTACAGTTCAGAGTTCTCATGCTCTCTCTGCCCTCCGAGGACACTAGGCATACACATGGTGGACAGACAGGCAAATCACCTACACACATAAAATAAAAATAAATCTTAAAAAAATGAAGAAAAGTCATCTTGAAATTCTGTCATTTAGAAACCCCCTTATTGTTTTATTACATAGTTGTATTCATACTATTTTGAATAGTTTTTTTTTTAATTTAAAAATTTATTTTATTTTGTGTGGGGATATTTTGCCTGCATGTATGTTTCTATATTATGTGCAGGCAGTGCCTAGGGAGGCCAGAAAATGGTGCTGGATTTCTGGGACTGGAATGGTGGTCATGAGCAACCATGTGGGTGCTGGGAATTGAATGTGGCTCCTCTGGAAGAGCAGGCAGTGCTCTTAGCTGCTGAGCCAATTTCCAGCCTGTAGTTTTTACTTCATATATACTCTTAGGCATTTTTTGGTTCTTTTACATGGCTTTTCCATGTTATATCTTGTTAGCAGTATATTCCATTTTGTGATACCATAACTCAATTTTCTTATCTAAATTATTTTATTGCATCTTTTACTGTATTATTGGTATCATAAAATATGAATAACTAGCTGATTGTGGTGACACATACAAATAGCACCTCTCCTTTTAGTAAAATACCCCAAAATGGAAGAACTCAAGATGTCCAGTCACAGAGAGATGATAATGTAAACTGGTATGCCCATAAAATATAAAGTATTGGGACTGGAGAGATGGGTTAGTGGTTAAGAACACTTGTTGCTCTTATAGAGAATCCATGCTTAGTTCTCAGCATCTTCATGGTATCTAACAACAGTCTGTAACTCCACTTCCAGAGAATCTGATGCCCTCTTCTGGCCTTCATGGGCACTCTACACATGTGCACAGACATATGTATGCAAGCAAACACTCATACACATAATTTTCTTTTTTCTTTTTTTTTTTTTTTTTTTTTTTGTGAAGAAAAGGTAAGCCAGGCGGTGGTGGTACACTCAGGAGGCAGAGGCAGGTGAATCTCGGAGTTTGAGGCCAGCCTGGTCTACATAATGAGTTCCAGGACAGCCAGGGCTACACAGAGAAACCCTGTTTCAAGAAAACAAAACAAAACCAAAAAACAAAAACCCAAAAAAGAAGAAAAGGTAAATATATCAGGACTAAGACTAAGGTACAGAGTTGCTTGATTTACATGAAAGACTATGAGGTTAAATGATACATTATGTTTATATTACATGTGGGTTGAAGGAAAAGAAATCAGATGTTCAAGGTCATTCTGGGTTACTTGTCAATCTCAAACATGCTGTCTGATATTTCTAGTGCTAGAAAAGCACTGTATATCTGGTTATGAAAGCTCACATCTGTGTTGCCAGCACTGAGACATGAGGATCCATCATTAGTCTCAAGGTCATCTGGTCTATTGAGGATGTTCCAGATCAGCCATGGCCAGTTTTAAAAACCCAAAACAACCAGCAAAAATCATTAGGGAGCTATACACATGTAAAGGTCTCACTTTAAAAAACAAAACAAAACTTTGGTCTTTGTTTTGTTTTCTGTATGTTTGTTTTTTGAGACAGGGTTTCTCTGCAGCTTTTGGAGCCTGTCCTGGAACTCGAACTCAGAGATTTGTCTGTCTCTGCCTCCCGAGTGCTGGGATTAAGGGCGTGCACCACCACTGCTCCGCTAAACTTTGGTTTTTGTGGGAGGGTCTTATATATCCCAGTCTGTTCTTAACTCACTATAGTTAAAATGAACCTCCTTCCTTCTCCCCAAGGGCTAGGATTATAGGCAAGTACTACTATATCCTGTTTTCATGGTGCTCAAGATAGAATTCAGAGTCTCCAGCATACTAGACAAGAACTCTACGAACTGAACTAAATCCTTCGCTGTTGTTTTTTGTTTGTTTTTGTCTTGTTTTTTGAGATTTTATGTAGCCTGTACTGATCTTGAACTCATTATAGCTGAGAATGACCTTGAACTCCTGATTCTCCTGCCTTTATGCCAGCCCCTCAGTTTTCCTGTTTGTAATATCTGCTCTTGTGTGCCCGTGTGTGCCCGTGTGTGCCCGTGTGTGTGTGTGTGTGTGTGTGTGTTAACATATCTTTAAATAGCCATTTATTACTTACCTTGAGTAGATGAAGGGCACCTTACACTAGTAGAGTTGTGTCCTGCTAGTTTTTCTTACACCTTTTGTATGATAGTGTAACTATCTTCCCTTTCTGCCTCTTATTTTGCCTATTAAATGTGAAGTCACTTGTGTTTCTCTTCCAGATCTTCAGGATCTGTTGTTCTGTGTAAGTCAAAGCGATTTTTTTTCATGTTATTTGATTTTTTTCCAGGATACGTTTTCAGTATTATTTTTTATACTTCCATTGAGTCTTTTGGCTGTCACTTTATTTCTTTCTTTGGTGAAGCTCTTGGTTCTGCTTGTTTTGTGTTTTATAATATCCAGATGCAGTATAAAATGTAATTTTTTTGTATGTTTTCTGTGCTTATTGCAAGCACAGAAGTTGGAAATTGTCCATGTGGTGGCAAAGTCTGTTCATTTGTGAATGATGATTTATAGAAGTGGCCATTTTCTAGGAAAGTATTCACTGACCCCAGAGGAGGACTAGTTGTAATGGTCTTTATTTGGAGCTAATTTCTTCAGTAAACAATATTTGGATCTGGGTGTGGTGGTGCATGCATCACTTGGGGGGCAGAGGCAGGAGCTAGGCAGTGGTGGCGCAAGACTTTATTCACAGCACTTCTGGAGGCAGGGAGGCAGGTGGATCTTTGTGAGTTTGAGGCCAGTCTGGTCTACATAGTGAGTTCCAGGACAGCCAGAGCTGTGTAGAGAGGCCCTGTCTCAAAAACAAACAAAACAAGAACTACAAAAAACTCCCCAACAACAATAAAAATCTTTGACTTTTGCTTGTGGGATAGCCCCAAATGAGATGGGAGTAGAAACTTGGGCGTGATGGTTTTATATTGATCCCATTATTTATATCTCTAGTTCATCTCTGAGGCCTTTCCTGCTCAATATCTCATATATTTTCTACTTTTAGCTTGCTGTTGGTGTTCTGGGAGTGGGAAAAGGGTTGGTGATGACTTTGTAGAGACTCTGGACTATCTTTTTGTATTCAGGATGTCTTCCCTGTCCCCAACTTCATGTTCTAAACTTACTTCATAAGTATAAGCAGTTCTCATTGATATTTTGATTATTGACTAATTCAAGAAAAATCAATTCTCACCATTTATATTGTGTATTCCTCTCCTGCTTTAGCAGTTTTACTATGTCTTTCTGACTGTAGGGTTACTGTACTTTTCTGAATTATGTAGGTTTTCTCTATTACATATCCTACTTAAAATCAGTTTTGTTTTGTTTTTTTGAGACAGGGTTTCTCTGTGTAGTCCTGGCAGTCCTGGAACTCATTCTGTAAACTAGGTTGCCCTTGAACTCACCGAGATCTGCCTGCCCTTGCCTCCTGAGTGCTGGGATTAAAGACATGAGCCACCACTGCCCAGCTCCCAAAATTAGTTTTTAAAGTCATAAAAATTCAATATATATTTCTTACCTAATTTTTCACTTTGATCAGATAAATATAGTCTTTTAACTTAGGTAAAATTAATCTTCCTAGATGGTGTCAGGAGTTACTGTATGTAGTTTCCCCCAAGTGTACTAAGATACTTGAGGATGGTGGCAGGTCCTGTGCTGAGTCTGTCTTAGGATCGTTGTGTACGTATGAAAGGCGAGGAAGGCAACAGGAAAGACTGGCTTTGTGTTTAGCCCGTGACGGAAGAGTCATACTGAACCTTCTATCTGACAAAGAAAGACTAAATCTAAATAAGTTGATTTATTTCCTGAAACATAGTACCGTAAAAAGTTGTTTTTATGTTTTAGATGTCTATGTTTGAATCTGTGCGAGAGCAGGCAGCCAACATCCCAATCTTAGAAGAACAGATTATAAATTTGGAAGCAGAAGTTTCAGCTCAAGATAAAGTTTTAAGGTAAATGCACTGTGTAGCTTGGAAATTTTTTTAAATTTCTATTTGTTTTATCTTATTAAGTACTATCTCTTACCTCAATTCCAGTAGATCTTTAGTAATTTAATAAGATCTTAGCACATCATTAAATTCATTTCAGTCAATTATAGCTTCTCACAGCTGTAACTTACCTTCAGGGTACAAGAACTAAAGATGGATTATTTTAAGCTGAGGTGCTTATTTGCAGAATTTTATTTAATATGAATTACTTCATTTCTTGCCCTATAATGCAACACAAACTCTTTGCTTCAGTATAGTGTAAGGACAAGAAATAGGGTATTTTATAATTTATTCTTATCTTTTGCTTTGAATATAATGTATACTGAGCATCATGCTATATTTGAGTTATTCTTGTGGTGGGAGATCCCACAGAGCATTGTATCTGGCTTGAATTCCAGAGTGTTAGCACCAAGGCTTTGAAATACCTTTTGTGATTCTGCCTTTTGTTACTGTTACCTTTTGTTTGAAGTGTTTGATTCGTAACTGAGTTCTTCCTTAAGAGTTCAAAGCCTTTGCAAAACTTGGTTATGAGAGCACTTTGAAAACCAGGAGGTCTGGTGCTTGAGAATTACGTGGGCATTTGGCTCCTTCAAACAAATTGCCAAAATTGACTTGCTAAGAGGTATAAATTGTATAATATTTAAAAAGGCCTTTTGAGAAGCAAAGGCAGTCAGTTCACCAGAAGCTGATTTCCCTGCTGCTCCTAAGCTAAAATTCATCCTGTAGTGACCCTAATTCTTCCACAGACCCTTGAAAAACAGAACACTGACAATTCTAACTTCAGTTCTGGGACTAGCAGTATTAGCATTATCTGGGAACTTGGTTGAGTCTTATCTCAAGCTTACTCAACCACAAACCTCAAAATGTGAAGCTCAGGTACACACATGCACACACATGCACACGCGTGTGTGTACACACACACACACACACACACACACATTTTGGAAGATGAAGCTCAGATATGTGTGTGTGTGTGTGTGTGTGTGTGTGTATTTAATATATTTGTTTTGTTTTGTTTTTTGTTTTTTGAGACAGGGTTTAACTGTGTAGTCCTGGCTGTCCTGGAACTAGCTTTGTGAACAGGCTGCCCTCTAACTCACCGAGATCCACCTGCCTCTGAGTGCTGGGATTAAAGGAATGCGCCACCACCACCTGGTTATATATATATTTTTTGATACAAGGTTTTTTTCTCTGTAGCTCTGGCTGTCCTTGAACACTCTCTGTAAACCAGGCTGGCCTTGAAAGAGATCCTCCTACCTCTGCTTCCAGAGTTCTAGGATTAAAGGCATGTACCACAATGCCCAGCTAAGTTTTAATAAGTATCATAGGTGATTCTGATGTATATTAAAAATGTCTTTTACCAGTTTTAGAACTTTCCTTATGCTGCATTAAATTTATTGTATTTTTGGTTTTGTGAATTTTTTTCTGATTAGTTTTTTTAATTCATTGAGAATTTCATACAGTGTAGTTTGATTATATCGTCCCACTCTCCCAACTCTTCTCAGATTCACCCATATCTCCCTATGCATGCGACTTTGTGTGTGTGCAGGAGCTCGCTCACTCACACCCTCTCCTCCAACTTTGAATCTTTTTTCTGTTGAAGTGTGATTGATATACCAGAGTTTACACCATTAAAGAAAAATGATTCTCCTTTCAGAAGCTATCAAATGCTAATAGCTTCTCAGTTATGGGTAGGATTTTGTACCTACCTTCCTTTTTCCATTCTGAAATTTCATCTGGCTTGAGCTTATAGAGGTCTTGTGCATGCTCTCATAATTGTTGCGATATATGTATCTTTTTTTTTTTTGGTTTTTTGAGACAGGGTTTCTCTGTATAGTTTTGATGCCTGTCCTGGATCTTGCTCTGTAGACCAGGCTCACAGAGATCTGCCCGGGCTCTGCCTCCAGAGTACTGGGATTAAAGGTGTGTGCCAATACCGCCCAGCAAGTCACACATTCTTAAAAACCTTAAAATCTTTCTGTTCTCTCTTCCATGAAGATATCTGAGCCTAGATGTCCCATTTAAGGCTGAACACTCTTTTATTCTCTACATATTGACCAGTTGTGGATCTCTGTGTTAATTACCATCTACTATCAGAAGAAGCTTCTCTGATAAGGGTTGATCCATGCACTGTTGAGTATAATAACTAATTAGGAATTGTTTTCATGCTATGTACATTTAGCAGAATAATATTAGTAGATTTTCCCCTAGAGCTTATGGCCAGTTTAGCCACAAGTTCTTAGTCTTGTTGACAGTGCCAGGTATGGGTTCTGTCTCATGGAGCAGGTCTTAAATCCAAGGACAGAGTGGTTGGTCACATCCATAACATTTGTGCCACTGTTGCCTCAGTGGGCATATCTTGAGAGGCAGGTCATTATTGTAGCTGGAAGTGTTCAGCTTGATGAGATTCATGATAACTTCTTTTCCAGTAGCATGCATAGAACCTTGGAGCCCTGTGAAAGCTATCCAGTAGGGATAAACTTCCAGTTGAGTACTAGCTAGATTTCTCCATGTTCTGTGACTCAAGTATATAGTGTCTTCAGCAGTAGGATCTTACCATCAAATTCTGGAACGTAACAAAGAGCAGTGGCAGTAGTCTGTAATGTTTGGGGTTGCATGGGCCCATTGGCCAATAACTCAAAAAGGGGTAACCTGTTACTGGTATGGGGAGCTGGTACCTTTTTTTTTTCCTTTTTAGTAGAGTGTGGTATCTACTTAGGGAACTCCTCTTCCCCTCATTATAGGATAACTCCATTTAAACTTTTATATATGTATATATTTTAGGAAGCTTCTACAGTAGTAGGTTTCCATGTGTTTTTTCCCAAAGGTCTCTAGTGTTAGTTATCCCTCCCTCCCCATATTCTTTCTACCCTGCCCTTCTATCTCCCATACCATTTAATCCTTCTTGTCTCATTTTTCCACTTTTCCCTTTCATAACATTTTATTTCCCTTTTCTTGAAAGATCTTTGTGTGTACCCTTTCTAGTTACCTAACCTCTATGGGTTTAGGAGACAAGGTCTTGCTATGTTGTCCAGGTTGGACCTGAATCTCTGGGCTCAAGTCATCATGCCTTAATGTCCTAAGTGATTGGACTAAAGGCATACCTCATTGTATCTGGTATGATTTTTATATCACATGTAATAGTTATTTGTAATTGGGTATTTCTTTTTTAAAAATGTTTTTATTACATTTATTTCTTCATTGGGTGTGGGTAGTGATGTGAGCATGCCATGGCATACATGTGAAGGTTAGGAAAACCTGTTGTAGTTACTTTACTTATACATGTGGGTTCCAGGACTTGAACTCAAGTCATCAGCCTTAATGGCAATCACCTTTACCTTTACCAATCTTGCTGGCATTTGTTTGCGGGTTAAGGTAGGGTTTTATTTTGTAGACCAGGCTTACCTCTAATTTACAGAGATCTGCCTGCCTCTGCCTCCTGGGTGCTGGTATTAAAGGTGTTCCTGGACTATTTCTTGTACTCTTATTTCTTCTAATTATTTTATGTGTATGTGTATTTTGTCTGTATGTAAACCTGTGTACCATGTACATGCCTGCTGCTCATGGAGGCCAGAAGAGGGTGTCAGATTCTTTGGACCTGGAGTTATAGGTGCTGGGAATCGAACCTTGGTCCCATGGAAAAGCAGCAAGTATTCTTAACCACTAAGCCATCTCTCTATCCCTTGTTATTGTAGTAATTTTTCATTTTTACTGTTTTCAATATTTTGGGTAACTAAATGATAATTATCAATAAATAACAAAAAATTTCCAGCACAGAATTTGTACTTCTGGCTACTTTACCATTTTTGTGTTTTTTTATTGGGTAGAACAGTCAAAGATATCTTTGGTTGTAGAAATGATAGCAATTATATTTGCTTTGTTTCTGAAGTATATAGAGGTGCTTCTAGTTAGTATAAAATATGTTTGTTTTTGTAGAGACTGTAGCTAAGGATGACTTTGAATTCCTGATCCTTTTCCTCTTGAATGCTGTGAATATAAGTGTGTGCCACCATGCTCAGTTGTTGAATGTGAAATATGATGTGAGCTTTTACTTTAGATGAGCTTTTCATTTGATGAAAGTTTTCTTTTATGTCATATAAATAGTCTTCCATTAATAACTTATGAACATGCCTTTCTCATTGTATATTTGTCTTTTTAACTCAATGACTTAAAGTAATTGAATTCCTATTGTTACATTATTCTTATATTTCTCCAGTAATCATTTTTACAGTTCTCAAAATTTATTCTCTATTTATAGGGAAGCAGAAGATAAATTAGAGCAGAGTCAGAAAATGGTGATTGAGAAGGAACACAGTTTACAAGAGGCCAAAGAAGAATGTATAAAATTGAAGGTGGATTTACTTGAACAAAGTAAACAAGGAAAAAGGTCTGTGAGATTTCCTTATTTGTTTTATAGCACTGAGAGTTGAACCTGTGCATGCTATACAACAACTGTACCACTGAGCCATATCTCTTTTAAAGCAAATAACTTCATTTTGAGATGGGCTGTTGCCATGTAATCTTGCCTGGCCTAGAACTTACAGGGCAGCCCAGGCTGATGTCCAATTTGCTGTAGTCTTTCTGCCTCATTTTCTTTCTTTCTTTTTTCTTTTTTTGTTGTTTTTTGGTTTTTGGTTTTTTTGAGACAGGGTTTTTCTGTGTAGCTTTGTGCCTTTCCTGAAACTCATTCTGAAGCCTAGGCTGGCCTCAAACTCACAGAGATCTGCCTGCTTCTGTCTCCTAAGTGCTGGGATTAAAGGTGTGCACTACAACCACCTGGCATCTGCTATTTTCTTAATTGACACATGTATTATTTTTCTAATTTGCCTGTGCCCTCCACCTCTTCCAGTACTCACAGATCACATTGTTTTATTTATTTTTTTGTTTTTGTTTTATTTTCAAAAATATGTAGCTGGAGAGCTTCTCTCCAGGTCCCACCAAGCCCCAGCAGTCCGACAGCCCACTTATGAAATAAATACACAGATGCTTAAATTATTTACAAACTGTATGGCTGTGGCAGGCTTCTTGCTAACTGTTCTTATATCTTAAATTAATCCATTTCTATAAATCTATACCATGCCACGTGGCTCATGGCTTACCAGCGTCTTCACATGCTTCTTGTCATGGCATTGGCTGGCAGTGTCTCTCTTTGCCTTCCTGTTCCAATTCTCCTCTCTGTTAGTCCTGCCTATACTTCCTGCCTGGCCACTGGCCAATCAGTGTTTTATTTATTGACCAATCAGAGCAATTTGACATACAGACCATCCCACAGCAAACATACATTCCCAGGATTCCATTTGCCATTATTTTTAGAATCATGTCTTCTAACAATTGCATTACATATCATCATGTGACTTGATTATGTTTCATTAATTTCTCTCATATTGAACATTTGCTGTTTTACCAATATTAAGACATGATGTCACATGACTGTACTTGCATGTAATTCATTCTGTATGTCTATCATTTCCTTTAGGTTAAGTTCTAAGAAATAGAATCTCTGAATCAAAGGCTAATATTTTAAGACTTTTATGAAAATAAATTTACCAAATTGCCCTTCAGAAAATTGTATTTGTCTTTTACTTTTTTTAATTGATTAATTTATTTATTTTGCATCTCAGCTGCAGCCTCCCCTTCTGCATCTTCATCCATTCCCTCTTTCCACCTCCCTTCTGCTCCCCACTCAACCTACCTGTCCTCCATATTTGCTCAGAATGGGGCACACCTCTCATGGGCATTAGCAAAGCATAGCATATCAAGCTGCCAAGACTAAGACCTTCTCCTGTGTTCAGCTGGGCAAGGCAATCCAGCATGAGGAATAGGTTTCCAAGAGCAGCCAAAGCACCAGGGACAGCCCTGCTCCCATTGCACAAACAGACCAAGCTACACAACTATCACATATATCTAGAGGGTCTAGGTCGGTCCCATGCAGGCTCCTTGGTTGTTGGTTCTTTCAAACCACCACAGGTATGATTTTAAGTATAAAAAACTTTCTTGTATAGGGATGATGTTAATTAATGAAACTTAGTTTGCTCAGCTAACTGTGAGAAGTGAGAAAAAAGTCAGGCTCACCCAGGAGGTAAGGAGTAAGGTCTGGCTTAAATATTGCATGGTTGTGGTTGGTTTTTTGTTGTTCAGTTTTATGTTAGCAAAAATTGCTGGTTTTGGCCGGGCGGTGGTGGCGCACGCATTTAATCCCAGCACTCGGAAGGCAGAGCCAGGTGGATCTCTGTGAGTTCGAGGCCAGCCTGCTCTACAAAGGGAGTTCCAGGAAAGGTGCAAAACTACACAGAGAAACCCTGTCTTGAAAAACCAAAAAAAAAAAAAAAAAAAAATTTGCTGGTTTTGTTTTTGTTTTTAGACAGGGTCTCACTATGTAACTCTGGATGACCTAGAATTTATTATGTAGACTAGACTGGCTTCAAACTGAAAGAAATCTGCCTGCTTCTGTCTCCTGAGAGTTAGTGGTTTTTGTTGTTGTTCTTTGTTTTTGTTTTTTAAGTACCTTTTAAAAATTAACTTAATTTTTGCATGGGTCATAGAACTGAATATCTAACATTTTATGCTGTAGATTGATTATACAAGACAACTTTTAGAAATGTATTTTTCAGTGTCATGGTGCTCCTCTAGTCTTTTTTCTAGATTAGGGGATAGAATTGCCTATGCATAGGAATTTATGTATGTTTCTGAGTTGATAACTATTTCCTCCTCTATTTCATTTATTTTGCTCTAATGAGAAAGTTATTGTAGTAAAACCATCATTTCACAGTAAAGCCTACTACTCTGTTTTAGTTTTAGTTTAAAAAAATCTACTTCTGGGCCTGGAAAGGTGATTCAGTTGGTAAAAATCTGCAATGTAAACATGAGGACCTGAGTTTGGATCTCCAGTACCCACTAGGCACTGCTGCATACATACATCTGTAATCTCAGCACTGGGGAGATGGAGACAGGTAGAGTCTTGGAGCTCATTGGCTAGCCAGTCTAGTCAAAACAATGATCTCCAGGTTCAATGAAGGGACCTTGTCTCAAAAAATGAAGTGGAGAACCATTGAGGAAGAAATTTGATGTTGACCTTTGGCCTCCAACTTCATGTTCAAACACACTGACGTGTAGCCACATACACATGTGTACTTATACACAATAACACATACACCACATATGTCCATACATACAACACCCACATGGTATGCGCATACATACATGCACACAAATTTGCTTAAAGATTAACTTCTCAAGCAGAGAATTCCTTACTTTTATTATTTCTTTTTAAACTTTAGAGCCGAACAACAAAGGAATGAAGCACTATACAATGCTGAAGAGCTGAGTAAAGCTTTCCAGCAGTATAAACAAAAAGTGGCTGAAAAACTGGAAAAGGTGAGAGAAGTGTTCGTTCAAACTCCGTGTCTTGTGCTACTACTGTTCATATCTAAAAGTATATAATACATAGACTGTTTTTCACCTATGGAATAATAATTTTTTTAAATTTTCATTTTAACTCGTATGTATGGGTTTTTGTCTGCATATCACATGTGTGCTTTCCAGAAGAGGGTGTCAAAGCCCCTGGCGCTGGAATTACAGATGGTTGTGTGAGCCATCTTGTGGGAGCTTGCAATAACAGCAAGTGTTCTTAACCCCTGAACCATCTCTCCAGCCCTGGAATAATAATTTTAAAGATTTTATGTATAATAAAATAATTGAAGCAAAACTTTATTTCAAATTTACTTTAATTTTGTGTTTTTTTTTTTTTTTTTGGTTTTCCGAGACAGGGTTTCTCTGTAGCTTTGGAGCCTGTCCTGGACTAGCTCTGTAGCCCAGGCTGGCCTCGAACTCACAGAGATCCGCCTGACTCTGCCTCCCGAGTGCTGCGATTACAGGCGTGTGCCACCACCGCCCGGCTAATCTTGTGTTTTTTAAATCATTATAATTTTTAAAGATTACATATATATCTGGAAGGGAGGCTGTATGCACATGAGTGTAGGTGCCCATGGAGGCCGGAAGAAAGTGTTGGATCACCTGGTGCTCAAGTTACAGGAAGCTGTAAGCTGCCTGATGTTGATGCTGGGAACTGAACTTGGGTCCTCTACAGTATGTGTTCTTAACCACTGAGCTATCTTTCCAGTCCTGCTTATTTTTTGAGATTGGTTTTATGATGTTGTCCAGGATTGTCCCAAATTCAAATTCAAGGTCCTTCTGTCTTAGCCTCCAAAGTAGCTGGGATAAACTAATATTTAAAATATTAGTTAAGGAAGATGTTCACCAGTACTTTTATTACCAAGAGAAACCTTTATTGAAGAATAGGTATAACAAATAGAAAAAAATTAGAGAAAGGAGTAAGTGAGTAGAAGTTGGAACTAGAGAAGCAGAAGCAGGAAATTTATTTCTATTTTCACTGAAAATGAAGACAGAGATCATTGTACAACCTTTCACTGCCCACTTGACCTACTGTCCTCTCAGAAGGAACATCTTTTAATCTGATCCTATACAGAAATGCAATGATTTTATTACCAATTTAATATCTTTGTAATAAAACATATCAAAGAAGACCACAAGTTGGACATTCAGATATTGAGCTCAGAACAGAGGTCTGATCAAGTGTATTGATAGGAGAGACTTCCATTTTGAGATTATAATTTAAGAAAAGGAATTTAATGGTTTTGTTAAAAGAAAGGTCAGAGAACAAATTCTTTAAGGAAAGTGTTAGAATAAGAAGTTACTAGCTGGGTGTAGTGGCACACGCCTTTAATCCCAGTATTTTGGAGGCAGAGACAGGCAGATCTCTGAGTGAGGCCAGCCTGGTCTACAAAGAGTTTCAAGAAGACAAAGAGGAGGAGGAGGAAGAAGAGGAGGAGGAGGAAGAAAAGTTATTACTGAGTATGGTTAAATAAATGTATTCACATATTAAACTTTTATTAGTTGGTGAATTGTAATTACAATTAATTATTTTATATATGGAGCTAAAGCTGGAGTTCAGTGGTAGAACACTTGCCTATTATGCATCAGAGTCTAAGTTCAATCACTAGTATTGCAGAAAAGAAAAAAGACAGTTATTTGGAGTTGGAGAGATGGTTCAATGGTTAAGAGCACTGACTGTTCTTCAAGAGAACCTGGGTTCAATTTCCAGCACATACATGGCAGCTCCAGTTCCAATAACACAGACATACATGCAGGCAAAACACCGATGCACATAAAATAAAAGTAAATAAATTTTTAAAAAGATGGTTATTTTACATACCAGGGTAAGTGCTAGTCTTTGGGAGATTTAGTGATGTATAACACATAATGCTTACTATGAAAAGCTCACAGTCTAGTAAGACTGGCAATTATGTAGAAAAATGATGTCAGTATTTTGGGATAACATAATATGAAAGTTAGGTGTAGTTGGAGTCATGAAAAGGAGTCTCTGGGGGGCTCAGAAAGCTTTATGAAGTGGGCAGTGCCAGTATATTTGAGCTGCTACTGTATCTCAAAGATAATTGTGTATCATGCACTGGTGTAAAGCTGAGGAGAAAGTAAAATACATGTTCAAAATGCACATTTATATCTGAAACTGTGTGGAAGTGGCGAGATTGAAGTCAAACATAGTGTGAGAGACCAAGCAAGGGGCATTGAAGATCACAGCTCTGGGTTGGTGAGATGGCTCAGTGGATAAAGGCACTTGGCGTACAAGCCTGACGACCTGAGTTTGACCTCAGGGACCCACGTAAAGATGATAGGAGAGTTGTTCTCTGGCTACACATGCACATGCCTACATGCATTCATTGTATGTACACATTTAATAATATTATTTTAAAAAACTAGAAAGATGATTAGTCTGAGTAGAAAGTAGTGAGAGATATGAAAGCTGGAGAATAGATGGGATCTGGTGATTAATAGTAAAGATAGTAAACAAGAGAAAAGTATAGTGTTTCTAGGATGTTGGTGTAAGTAACTTGTGGATGATTTTATCTTGAATCAAAATAGATAATTTGTGGGGAAATGAATTCTACTTTGGAACTCACTGCAGGATATTCAGTTGTGGATTTCTAATGAGGATTCATCCCCCAGGTACAGTCTACAGTATTGAAATGGTTACAGAGTGAGGGGAGGATGAAAGATATAACGGTGGAAGATAACAAATAAAACAACTTTTAAATATACTGACAAATCAGGGAACTAGGTAATATAGAAAAGCTTAGATAATTAAGCATAAAAAAACCCCAGTTATCCAAAATATATGGATATATGACATTATTATAATGGAACAGATTATTCTATATAATATGTGCTTTTTTTTTTTTCAAGACAGGGTTTCTCTAGTTTTGGTGCCTATCCTGGATCTTGCTCTGTAGACCAGGCTGGCCTCACAGAGATCTGCCTGGCTCTGCCTTCCGAGTGCTGGCATTAAAGGTGTGTGCCACCAATCACCATTTTTAAAAGCCTTTGAGAGGGTTCTCATGGGAATATATATCTTAGAAGGGACTTTTAGTAAGGTGACATGTGAGAGGAAAAAAACTTTTAGGGAAGAATGTCCTCAGGGAAAAAGGAAAATGTAATAGGTTTTTAAAAATTTCTTAGGGTTAATAGTTTCTAATTTTGCTCAGCAAAACCCTGTAGTTGATTAATATAACAAAGGATAACACAGGAAATGGAATAGGTTAATTCAGTCCTCCACTCTTCTTGCTCCAACCTGAGTGCTATCATAATTTATTATTATCATTGTGTGTGTGTGTGTGCGCAAAACAGTGTATATGAGACAGCAGACAACTTTGTGGAATTGTTTTTCTCTTTCCACCTTTACATGGTGCCTTAGTACTTTTCAGTTGCTGTGACAGAACACCATGACCAAGGCAATTTATAACAGAAAGCTTTTAATTTGGGGCTCATGACTCCAGATAGTTTAGAGTCCATAATGGAAGAGCAAAGGTATGGTGACAGAAACAGCTGAGAGCTCACATGTGGATCCTCAAGCAGGAGGCAGAGAACACATTGGAAATGGCGACAGTTTTTTGAAGCTCCAAAGCCTGCTCCTAGTGGCACACCTCTTCTAATAAGGCCATACCTTCCCATCCTTCCCAAACAGTTCCACTAACTGGGTGCCAGCTATTCAAAATGAGCCTATGGGGGCCATTCTCATTTAAACCAGTGCCCATGGTTCCAGGAAACAAACTTAGGTTGTCAGGCTTGCATTGTTAAACAGCAAGTACCCTTACCCACTGAGCTTTCTTTTTGGCCCCTTGGGTTGTTATTTCATTAAACATTACATTTCATTAAACATAAACATCATTTGGGTTAAAATTTCAAATATTAGATTTCTGAAACACTTGTTCCCTCACCCCCACCCCCACCCTGGACAGGGCTTCTTTGTGTAGCCCTGCTGTCCTGGAACTAATTCTGTAGATCAGGCTGTCCTCAAACTCACAGAGATCTGCCTGCCTGGCGTGAGCCACCACCACCTGGCCTAAGGGCAGTTGTTAATGTATATTTGGATGTATAATGCCTATTTAAATTGCTTGCTTTGTTCATGCCTACAGGTGACATTGTTCTTGCCAATCTGTTACTGGCCCTTAAGGATTTCTGAATAGGTAGTAACATCCTCCTTCTTGTCTTTTGTGTTATGTTGTTTCTTTTCACTACAGTACCAGGGACTTAAATATATGAAATATTTAGCCTATTCCTATTTCTTTCCAAAATCACTACTCATAGTTTTAATTTGAAACAATGTAAAACTTGTGATTGTATTAGTATATTCACTTAAAACAAATTTTTGTTTTAGGTTCAAGCTGAAGAAGAATTATTAGAGAAAAATCTTAATAACTGTGAAAAAGAAAACAAAAGGCTTCAAGAAAAGTGTAATCTGTATAAAAGTGAACTTGAAATTTTGAAAGAGAAATTCAGGTACATTATTATTTAAAAAAGAATTTTTTCAATATGCAAATGGAAAAAGGGAAACCCCTTTTTACTGTATATATAGAGTTTTTAATGTGATTTAGAAGGCTAAGATTCATGACTAAAACTTCTCTAGGTATAAAACCAGCATTTTAAACATAGTAAGACATCTTTACATTCTAACACATTTGTAAATATAGAATAATACAAATCAACACAGACAAAATGTTCTTAGAATGTAATCACATTAGCTAGCTAGTAAACAAATAGGAAATCATCTAGTGCAATTTTCTTTTTCTTTTTTCTTTTTTTTTTAATAAAAGAAGAAACAAAGACTCAGAGAGTAGTCATTTTTTTTTTCCACAGTCCAGAAGATTAGGGACTGGCAAGTTGCCTTAAAGGGTAAAGGCTCTTTCTGTGTAAGTCTGCTGATCTAGTTTGATTGCTGGCACCCATATAAAAGAGGAAGGAGAGAACCAACTCCACATAGTTGTCTTCCCACCTTTACATGAGTGCTGTGGTGTAGCTAGAGTTTTCCTGCCTGGCCCACAGTCAGGACAAATGTCTCTCACCCGCCAGTCCCACAGCCGCTCAGACCCAAGTAAACACACAGAGACTTATATTGCTTACAAACTGTATGGCTGTGGCAGGCTTCTTGCTAACTGTTCTTATATCTTAAATTAACCCATTTCTATTAATCTATAAGTTGCCACATGGCTTGTGGCTTACCGGTATCTTTACATGTCCCTTGTCATGGCAGTGGCTGGCAGCATCTTTCTGCCTCAGGCTTCCACTTCCCAGAATTCTCCTCTCTCCTTGTCCTTCCTATACTTACTGCCTGTCTACTGGCCAATCAGTGTTTTATTTATTAACCAATCAGAGCAACACATTTAACATACAGAACATCCCACAGCACCGTGGCACATGCTGCCCCCCAATCTCTCTCTCTCTCACACTAATAATGATGAATAAATTTAAAAAATTAGATTAAAGATATTATTCTGGATTGTCTGACTCTGATACTCTATACAATATAATTTTTTAATAACTAATAATCCTGATCAACTTTCAGAAGTTAATATTAAACCATTTTCATAACCTCAGGCTATTAAGGTGGAGAGAGCATTAAAATATTTTTTTTTGCCTAATTGTATAATTGTAGCACATTTTCCTTAAGGTTGGTACATTTAGTATTTTTGCTTTGGTAGATGAGATAAAATTACTTGAGTAAGTCATAGAATCTGATGTTATCAATTATAATGTAAACTTCTAGAAGTGAAATGTGACTAATTATACTCTGATAAAATGTTTGATCACTAAAATTTTTGTTTTTTATTTTATAAAGTAACTTTTAAAAAAAGACTTTGTTTTTGTTTTAAATTATGTTTATATATGTGTATGTGTCCAGGTTGGGGAGGTGTTGTGCTTATAAGTACAGTGTCCTTGGAGGTTAGAAGAGGGCGCTGAATTTCTATAGCTAGAGTTACAGATAGTTGTGAGCCACCTAATATTAGTACTGAGAACTGAACTTGGGTCCTTTGTAAGAACAACACTCTGAACCATTGAGCCTTTTCTCCAGGACCTCTAAAATAATTTTTATACTTATTTTTCTTTTATGACACTTACCTCACCTACCAATACTGGAGATCAAATCCATGACCTTGCAGATGTCATGCACATAATGTACTGATCTATGTCCCTCGTCTAGAAATTAGATTTACATGTTTACATTTCTATTAAATTAATTATTCTTTGACAATTTCATATTCGTGTGTGTATATATATAAATACACAATATAGTCTGATTACTCTCTTTCTCCAATCTCCCTCCTACTTTTAGCATCACCCCCCCAAGTCCCATTCTCATGTTCATGTCTTCCTGTTTTGTATACAACTGAGTTTAACCAGGGCTGTCTCTGTGTCCATGTGTTTAGGACTGTCTAAGAGAACTTGATGGGCTCACCAGTGAGTGTACAGCTGAAGACAGTGACTCTCTTCTTTCCAAATCCATCAGTAGTCAATAGTTCATCAGGGAAGGGTAGGGCCCCAAGTGCCCCTCCCTATTCCTGTCTTATAGGCAGTTGTGAGCCACCTGACATGGGTGCTGGCCTCTGAACTTCAGTTCCCATGTTAGGAGCAGCAAATACTTTTAATTGCTAAACTGTCTCCCCAGCCTTTATCCTTTCAAAGAACCAGCTCTTTGATTCTTTGTATTTGTTTTCATTTCATTAATTTCTACTTCTTTTTTGTTTGTTTGTTTTGTTTTTTCAAGATAAGGTTTCTTTGTGTAACAGCCCTGGCTGTCTGTCCTAGAACTTGCTCTGTCGCCAAGGCTGGCCTCACAGAAATCCCCCTGCCTCTGCCTCTTAAGTGCTGGGATTAAAGGCGTGCATCACCTTGCTCAGCAGTTTCTGCCTGATTTTAATTATTTTCTTCCTATCTTTTTTGAGTTTGGTTTGTTTTTTCAGACTCTCTTTGTTGTTGTTTTTGTTTTGTTTTTTGTTTTTCAAAACAGGGTTGTTCTGTGTAGCCCTGGCTGTACTGGAACTCATTTTGTAGATCAGGCTGGTCTTAGATCCACCTGCTTCTGCTTCCTGGGATTAAGGCATGTGCCACCATGCCCAGCATATATACCTTTTTTTGTAATCTATTCTCAGAGGAAATTCAGCCAAGAGACATACAGTTTAACCAGAAGTTTACTTAGCAAAGCAAATTAAAACATACACACCAGAGATTGGAGTGTGTTGTCCTGAGGGAGCAGAATAAGAGCCATTGGTTCTATGTTTGGATACTTACAAATATTTATGAAGTAGATGGCGTATTCACTGGGGTATGGTAACTTTTTTTTTTCCCCTCACAGATCATAGTGGACCAGATCTTCCCACAATCCTCTTGAAAGTACACAAAGATGAGAAGGGCGGGTGTCAAAACAATAATGTAAATAGTATAATGGTATCAGATCCTTTAAGTATATAGCGTTTTGTTAGTGTGCATGTGTGGCAGTTAGGAAAGTGCCCTGGTACCTCAGTTTCTCCTCTTGTAGGAAGAATATAACAGCAGCTTTAAGCAAGTTTAACCATAACAAGGCATTCTTACAATCAGGACACAGCTCTCAACACTTCCTGCTTACCTCAGAGCTTACTCTCGACTGCCAGTTCTGTAACCATCCTTTTCTTGCTTCCTTTCTTCAAAAGATAGATTCACACACTGTAACCCAGGCTGGTCTGGAGGCACTGTAACTCAGGCTAGCCCCAAACTTCAACAGTGCTTTTGCCTTCATCTCTTAATTGCTTGTAATACATGTGAGCACCATGCCTGGCTTACCGTCCTTGTATCCCTAAGATACATGTGACTAATTTTCAATAAAGTCCTGTATTCAGTGTACTGGCATTTTTTTGAGGATTTTTGTTATTTTCATATAGAGTATTGGCTTCTACTTTTCCCTTTTTTTTGTTGTTGTGCCCTCGGTGAGAGAATGTAAATGTGATTATTAAAAATGTATGCTCATTTTGTTTTCATTTTAATGCTGTTTTCTTTATAGGCAGTTAAAAGAAGAGCATAACAGTGGAAAAGAAAAATTAAGAATTATGGCAATGAAAAATTCAGAAGTCATGTCACAGTTAACTGAATCTAGACAAAGTGTCCTGAAGCTAGAGAGTGAGTTAGAGGACAAAGATGAAATATTGCGAGAAAAATTTTCTTTAATAAAAGAAAACCGAGAATTGAAGGTTCGTGTTGCAACACAGAATGAACGACTGGATTTGTGTCAGCAGGAAATTGATAGTTCAAGGTTGGAACTGAGGAGCTTAGAAAAACTGATGTCCCAGATGTCAGTAAGTATGTGTGAAAAGAAATGTAGTACACTTGCCTGTGCAGTGGAAAAGGACACTTGTTATTTTATAGAGCATCGTTTTGTGGATAGTTTACTAGCTTATGTTCTTGTACTTGTTTGTTCAGCCAGTTCTTTAGTCTAGTACCTAGTTTCTCCTCATACTTACCTTCTACTCTTTCACTTTTCTTAGTTTCTGAGCTGCCATCTATAAGAACTGCACAGAAAGCCGGGCGGCGGTAGCACATGTCTTTAATCTCAGCACTGGGAGGCAGAGCCAGGAGGATCTCTGTGAGTTCAGGGCCAGCCTGGTCTACAGAGTGAGATCCAGGACAGACTCCAAAGCTACACAGAGAAACCCTGTCACAAAAAAACAAAACAAAACAACAACAACAAAAGCACAGATTTTTATTGAAGTATTATTTATATATTGAAAATTCATTTCTTTATGGTATACTATTAAGTGAGTTTTAGTAAAGTTACAATTTTTTTTTTTTTTTTTTTTTTTTAGTTTTTTGAGACAGGATTTCTCTGTGTACCTTTGTGCCTTTTCTGAAACTCACTCTGTAGACCAGGCAGGCCTCAAACTCACACAGAGATCCGCTTGCCTCAGCCTCCTGAGTACTGGGATTAAAGGCATACGCCACCACTACCCCGCTAAAATTACAAATTTGTAACGGTCACAATCCAGTTTTACACATTTCTATCATCCCTAAAAGATCCTTTGTGTCTCTTTATAATTAGTGTACCCCACTTTGGGAAACCAATAATAGTTTGTATTTCTATAGATTTGTCTTTTCTGGACATTTCATATGAATATAGTCAAAACAGCATGTCGGAGTTTTTTTACATGTCATTTTGCATTTTTCGTATTTTGAGGGTCATTCATGTTGAGATATCAGTATTTTGTTGCACGAATCCTAAATGGTCTTATAACAAAAACCCAGAGCCAGATATCGGTGTAAATGCTGAAAGATCATGGAAACAAAGGAACAAGCCACAGCCACTTTTCACCTAGCCAACTCCACAAATACTCTGACTGAATGCCTCTGAGTCCTCAGCCGAAAGGGCCTAATTCCTGTCTCCTCCTGCTTTATATTCCTTTCTCTGCCCAGCCATATCACTTCCTGTCTCAATCTTCCTAGTGCTGGGATTAAAGGAGTGTGACTCCCAAGTACTGGGATTAAAGGTGTGTGCCACCACTGCCTGGCTGTTTCTCTTTTAAACTGGATTAATGTGTAGTACAGGGTGGCTTTGAACTCACAGAGATCCAGATGGATCTCTGCCTCGGGAGTGCTGGGATTAAAGGTGTGTGCCACCACTAGTTGACCTCTGTGGCTAACTCTGTGACTCTCTCTGTCCTCTGATCTTCAGGCAAGTTTTATTAAAGTACAACAAAATATCACCACAGTATTTCATTTATTTTTAGCGTTGAATAGTGTCTTAGTTAAGGTTCCTATTGCTGTGAAGAGACACCATGACCACAGAACTCTCATGAAGGAAAACGTTTAATTGAGGTGGGGGCTTACAAGTTTAGTCCATTATTGTGGCAGGAAGCATGGTGTCCTGCAGAAAGACATGGTGCTGGAGAAGGAGCTGCTACATGTTGATATGCAGGCAACAAGGAAGTAGACTGAGACACTGGGTGGTATCTTGCGCATGTATGAGACCTTAAGCCCACCTCCGTAGTGACATACTTCTTCCAACAAAGCCACACCTCTTAATAGTGCCACTCCCTTTGGGTACCATTTTCTTTCAAACCACCACAAATAGTATGCAGTTGTGTGCATATATCTTATTTAAGCACCATTTGAACATTTGGGCTACTTCTGCTTTTAGTCTGTATGAATAGTGCTTCTGTGACTATTGGCATAGAAGTCTTTTTGTTGACATGTTTCATTTTCTTCTTGGATAGATACCTTAGAGTAAAATTTCTGGGAAATAATAGTAAATTTATGTCAAAATATTTTCTAAGACTCCTCCACATTTGGAACTCTCCTACCACTGATTCTTGTTTCTCTGCATCCTTGTTGACATTTGTTGTGTCTCTCCATATCCATCTTAGTCTGTGAGAACTAGTGTTTCAATATAGTTTTAAATTTAATTTTTCTGATGGCTAATGTTGAACAACATTACATAGTTGGTGGTGATATTATGTTCCCCAAAATATTGTACACCCTAATAAACTTATCTGGGGTCAGAGAACAGAACAGGCACTAGATATAGAGGCAAGAAAATGGTGGCACACAGGCCTTTAATCCTAGCATTCCAAAGGCAGAGATCCATCTGGAACTCTGAGTTCAAAGCCACACTGGAAACAGCCAGGTGTGGTAACAAGAGCCTTTAATCCCTGGAAGTGATGGCAGAAAGCAGAAAGGTATATAAGGTGTGAAAACCAGGAACTAGCCTGGTTAAGCTTTCAGGCTTTTAGCAGCAGTTCAGCTGAGATTCATTTGGATAAGGACTCAGAAGTTTCCAGTCTGAGGAAACAGGATCAGCTGAGGAATTGGCAAGGTGAAGTGGCTGTGGCTTGTTCTGCCTCTCTGATCTTCCAGCAATCACCCCAGTACCCGGCTTCAGGTTTGTTTTTATTAATAAGACTCTTCAAGATTCATGCTATAATAGTCTATCGTGGAATTAAAAATATTCATGTGCCAGGCAGTGGTGGTGCACGCCTTTAATCCCAGTCATTATTCCAACTCTGTTTTATAGATGAATTAACATAAAAGTTGTTAGGAACATAAGTAAAACCATTTCGTGTGACTCCAAATAATGTAATGCCTTTAAGATAGGAGCCTGCCACTAGGCATCTCAGACTGGAGATAGTCACCCTACCCCTAAGCTCTGTTATATTAATGAACCAGCCACAAGACAATTCAAAAGGGAGTCAGCCCAAGACATGCCTTGATATACTGACAAGCTAACTTGAAGGTGGCACTGATCTAGTAGTGAACCAGCCCCACACTGTACACACTGAAAGCACAAAGCTAAGTCCAATGAACAATAAAAAACATGATAGCGTGCCGGGTGGTGGTGGCGCGGTGGCGGCGGCGGCGCATGCCTTTAATCCCAGCACTCGGGAGGCAGAGCCAGGTGGATCTCTGTGAATTCGAGGCCAGCATGGTCTACAGAGCGAGATACAGGACAGGCACCAAAACTACACAGAGAAACCTTGTCTTGAAAAAACAAACAAACAAATTCACGTGTGTCAATGAGATTAGAAAGGTAAATATGCATGTGCCAGAAATTTGACATTGACAGGTGTGAAATAAAGGTAAGCATGAGAAAATTACACACACATGTCATGGTTTGTTTCACTTAAGAATGGATGGTAGACTGCATGGCAGATTCTTAACAGTTTTAAAATACTGTCATTCATGGAACTATGAAGCTGAAAGTAACTTGGAAATCATCAGATTTGATATTTCACTGTTAAGAATATGTGGTTACAGAGAAATACTGGCCTAATGACCAGTTAACAGGAACAGGTTCCAAGGTCCTTGCCTTTGCTTTATCTGCTTTTCTTAGAAGTTATTTACCAAGATTTTAGTATACAATTTGTTGCCTTTTAAGATTGAAACATAATATGCAGGCATATATTCATTTTAATATACTCATTTTAAATTGAAATCCGTATTTGTGCTCAGTGTGATTTCACATATGATTCTAAAGGTGACTATAATACATGTTTAATCCTTTGTTTCACGAAGTGCTAAGTCTGACTTGGAAAAATGAATTTTTTTTTCTAGAAAGCATGACTTGGTTATAGTTTTAGTCATTGAGTGCTTTGCTCTTTGTCATAGCTACTTTTTAACGTCCTGTGTTATTTTGAAATTCATGTGTATCCTTCCTACCCATATTTCAAATATTGCTACATATAAATACCTCCAGAAAGACTTCGCTTAGTTTTTGAAAACACTATATGTAAGTACTATAATTTGTTTTAATTAAGTATTATGTTTTGAAATTATTCATATTGATTTACATAACTCAAACAAGTTTAGACATTCTATTGATAGATACCAGATTGTTTCTGTGAAATTCATAGTTTTTAACCTGAGTGTTCTAAGTAAAAAAGTGGTATCTTATATATATTATAAGTTTATAAATGTTTGTTTTTACACTTGCAGTTAAAAAGAGAAATAGTTGGCTTTAAGTCATCTCTTTCTAAGCACCAGATGAATAGTTTTTCTAACAAGGAGGACAATTGCATTGGCTGCTGTGAGGCAAATAAATTGATGATTTCGGAATTGAGGTATATTTTTGAGTTTTTAAAGTTACACTAAATAGAATTTTTTGTTGGTCTTTAAATTAAGATGTTTAGTTGAGTAGTTTAAAAATATTGGAAATTCCAGAGAATCTTATAAAAATACTTATTTCCCAAGTTATAATTGATTCTTAACACTTTTTTGTGTTTGTTTCAAATCTGTTCTTCCAAATAAAAAAATTAAACATTACAAGATGGACATCCTTTGACCCTTTGCCAGTCCCATTGTCCTTTCCCACCCCCCTAGATAACTATCATTATCAATTAGAATGTTTATATTCTCAGACAGACATAAATATGTATACTAATGTTTACATTTGCTGTTTTTCTGTAACACTCAACATCATTTAAAAAAAATCTATCCATCGGGGTTAGAGAGAGATGGCTCGGTGAGTAAGAGCTTGTACTGCTGTTACAGAGGGCGGTAGAGTCCCAGGATGCTTGTCAGGCTACCCACAACTACTTGCAACTCCAGCTCTAGGATAGTCAACACCGCTGGCCTCTGCCAGCACCTGCAACTCATGTTCACATACCTCACCCTCCAACACATACATATACACATATTAAAAATAAATTAAATCTTAAAAAAAATCCATCCTTGTGGAGGTAGAGTAATTAATTAATTGGTCAAAGGATAAGTGTGTTAATATTTTCTGTGTGCTCTAAAAAATAAAGCTTTCCTGAAGATCAGAGGGCAAAGCCAGCCACTCATTAGGCCATAGAGGCCAGGCAATGGTGGCACACACCTTTAATCCCAGCACTAGGGAGGTTGAAACAGGAAGTGATAAGGTTGGGCAGAGAGTGGAACATAAAGTGGGAAGAGACAGGAGTTCAGTTTCCTTTCGGCTAAGGACTTGGTGAGGTGAGAGGTGGCTGTGGCTTGTTCCTTTGTCTCTCTGATCTTTCAGAATTTACTCCTGATATCTGGCTCTGGGTTTTTATTAAGACTAATTAGGATTCATGCTACAGATAAGTTTGTTTGTTTGGTTACTTTAATAGTTGTAGGAATTCCAAAGAATTAATAAAGAATTATGTTTAAAAATTGTTGTAGGAATCTTTTTTAGAACTGTGTCACAATTAATTTATCCATTCTGTCTGATAGTTACCTATAGGTTGTAGAGTATTTATATTTTCAATTTTTTTTTTTTTTAAATCATGTTTGAAAAGTGGCTGAAGCAGTTTGCATTTCCTAGCTAGGTGTGTGCATGCCTTTGATTCCAACACATAGGAGGCAGTGGCTGGTGGATCTCAAAGTTTGAGGCCAGTCTGGTCTACATAGTGAGTTTCAGGACAGGCAGAACTGTGTAGAGAAACCCTGTTTCGAAAAACAAAACCAAAAATACCAAACAAAGAATTTCTGTGTCCTGCATAAGAGTTAACTGTTACCAGATTTTAAAAGTTTTTACTCATTTTAATTTTACTACACACACACTCCCCCATGGCAGTTATATAGAAACCAGAGCCCAACTTTCAGGAGTCGTTCACTTCATTTCTCTCCTACTGCAGGGTCCAGGGACCAAACTCAGGTTCTCAAGCTAGCGAGGCAGGCACTTTTTCTCACTGAATCATCTTGTTGACCAGTATTTACAACTTTAAAGGTGAAAAATACTATTTTAAAAATAAAATCAGAGTAATAACTTTTGGCTTTTCTTTTGTACTAGGATTAAGCTTGCAATCAAAGAGGCTGAAATTCAGAAGCTACATGCGAACCTGACTGTCAACCAGTTGTCTCAGAACACTGCTTCTTGTGATGATGTTCAAGAAGGTGGCAGAGTAAACACTTTAGAAACAGAGCCTGTAAAGCTAGGTGGTAGTCAAGGTGGTAAGTATATTACACTGAATTACTTTAATAATGATAATCAGTTTTTGCTGCTAGTATTCTAAAGGAACAGATTATTGATAATATTAAAAAACATTTAATCTCCTATTAATCCTATGGTTTGAAAAGATAGCAAGAATTATTAAGTAATTGTTAGACTTTGCATTGCTTAAAAAATATATTGCTGAAACAAAATTTCATCCAATAACATCTACCTATTTCATATGTGAAACCAAGGTGCCAATCATGAAGGCATACACCTTTAATCCCCGTCTTTGGGAGGTAGAGGCAGGTGTGTTATTTTAACTTTGGCACAGTGGCTATGCCTTAATCTACTGCTATCTCAGTCAGCAATTGCAACTCTGCAGTTACTGGCCTGCTTCTCTAACAGCAGTGAATCGAGAACCTATACGAAAACAGACTCATGGATATAGGACAGTAAGACTTGAGATTCATAGGCTGGGTTGAAAATCTGAGAACTCAGAGAGGCTGAGCAGCAAGTACCTAACCCTCCCTCCTTGCTGCCAGTGCCTACAGGAGCAGAATTCTCCCCAGGCTGCGGCCTGAGCAGCAAGACCTCTGCTAGAGAAGCAGGCTGGTAACTATGGAGTTGCAGTTGCTAGCTGAGATAGTAGTAGATTAAGGCACAGCCACTGTGCTGAAGTTAGAACAATACAGGTGGATCTCTATGAATTCAGTGCCAGCCTGGTGTCCATAGTGAGTCCAAGGATAACCAGAGTTTCATAGGGCAACCCTGTCTTGAAAAAAACCAAATATATATATATGTATATATGCATGCAGTTGTTTTGCATGTTTTTTTAAAAAATGTTTATACACCTGTCACCATCACCATAACCAAAACATGTAACATTTTTATCAGGATCCTTTGTAGTCCTTTTCACCTTCCTTTAGTTTTAGTTTTAGTTTTTTGTTGTTGCTTTTCAGTGCTGGTGATTGAACCAGGGACTGAACTGTATAATCAATCAATCAGCCCTTTATTAATTTCTCTTAAAGTGAAAGTTGCTCTTTTCAGATATAAATATTTAAAAGGTTAAACATTTCTTTAAGCAATACTTTGCATCCCACTAATTTTTGTGTTGCATTTTATTTTATATAGTTTAAATATTAAAGTGATTGCTTCTTTAGTTTTTTTTTTTTTTAATTTATTTATTATGTATATAGTATGCCTGCAGGCCAGAAGAGAGCACCAGATCTCATTATTGATGGTTGTGAGCCACCATGTGGTCACTGGGAATTGAACTCGGGACCTCTGGAAGAGCAGCCAGTGCTCTTAACCTCTGAGCCATCTCTCCAGCCCTTCTTTAATTATTGAACCTAGGCTGTATGTTTGTCTTTCTGAGTCTGACTTACTTTGCTTTATATTCAGGGATATCTTTGTATTGTTATTAGTAGTCAGGAAACATACTTCATGTGATTTTATTGTTTACTTTTTTGGTAGTAGCTACTTTGCTCAAGACTTCATGCATGATAAAAATGTGATCTACCACTGAGCTCTACCCTAAACTCTAATTTTTGTTGTTTGTCTTTTTTGAGACAAGGTCTCTTGTATAGGCCTTGCTGGCCTGGAACTTGCTATGTAGAACAGTCTGGCCTTGAACTCACAGAGATCTGCATCTCATTCTGTGGGAGTATGTGCATATGAGTGCAGTTGACTGCAGAAGCAAGCAGAGTACATCAGATTGGATCTGGATTACAGGCAGTTCTGAACTGCCTGACAGGTGCTGGAAACTGAATATAGATCCTCTGCAAGACCTCTTATATGCTGGGCCATCTTTCTAGCCCCTTTCCCTTTCTTTTAAAATAGCAGTCATGTTAGGTTGATGGTTTTAGTTTTGAGTTTTCTTTATACCTAATGATTTTCAATGTATTTGTTGTATCAATTACTGAGAGTGTAGTATAAAAATCTTCAACTATATGTGAATGTTGGTTTGTATGTTCTTTTACTTCTCTCGTCTTGTATTTTAGAGGTGTTATACATATATAGTGTCATATCTTATTGGATAGACTTTCTTATATATTAAGTTTCTGATAATATTCTTTATTTTGTTTGAAATCAATGTAGTCTTTTTAGTTTCTTTATTATTAGGGTTTGACGGATAGAATTTCCCCCCATTTTTTGAACTTATGCATTAATAGCTAAGGAATTTCTTATAAAAAAACGTGCAATTGGGACTGTTTTTATATATAATAAGACACTGTAATTTTTCTTTTCTTCCTTTTTTTTTCTTTTTTCTTTTTCTTTTGGAGACAGGGTTTCTCTGTGTAGCTTTGGAGCCTGTCCTGTAACTTGCATAGTAGACCAGATTGGCCTCAAACTCACAGAGATCCACCTGCCTCTGCCTCTGCCTCCGGAGTGCACCACCACCACCTGGCCCAGACACTGTATTTTTAATAAACATTTTATTAGATATTTGGATTTAGCATAACTACTTATTATTTTAGATTTAATGTACTAGTGGGTTTATTTTCTATTTTGTTAATCTTTTCTGCCTTTTTTTGATAAATATTTTAGCTGTATTATTTTTGGAGCTAAGAATCATATCTAGGATCTTACACATGTTGGATATTCACCCAACTCTACCACTATCCTATATGCTTAGCTCTGTTTTTATTTTATATTTGGATTATTGATTCATTAAGTAGAAATCTTAATTTTACTCCTTTAGTTCTGGCCCCCGAGGGAGCAAATGCATCGTTAGTAAAGTCTAGGTTGTTAGCAGAAATGACAGAAAATCAGTTATCTGACTAAAAACTGGGAAAGAATGATTTGTTTAGCAGAGGGAGTGTAGTTGTTAGAGATGGTAATACATATAGATTCTCTGATAGAGCTAGTGACAGATAGCCAAGGAAATGAAATACTGTGTATGTGAAGCACAGATGGGGAATGGCTGCTTAAATCCAACCCTTGAAAGCAAAGTACATTTTTCCTTGTTCTCACCTGTGTTCCCATCACTAACATTATGCCTCTTTAAATACTCTTGGAAGTTAAGTTACCTTGGAGTAGGAAACTGTATATGTTTATAATGGAGAAAGGACACATTCAAGCAGCCCTCAGTTTTAAAACATCACTGTATTTTTTCCTGCTCCATTGTAGAGAATGAAGGTGGGACTAAATAGATTTAATGCTCATACCTTCTGAACCTGCATTTATTTGATATACAGAATGTATATTCTTCTTCTTTTTCTTTCTTTCTTTCTTTTTTTTCCAAGACAGGGTTTCTCTGTGTAACAGCACTGGCTATCCTGGAACCAGGCTGGCCTTGAACTCACGGATCTACCTGCCTCTGCCTCTCAAATGCTGGGATTAAAGATGTGCACCACCACCCAGTCAGAAAGTATATTCTTAGCAATTTCAGCTGGCTCAAAGGTTATGGTTCACTTAAACTTAAAAATAGGTGTGTATAGTGATTTTGTTTTAAAAAAAATTCCTGTTGGGTCTGGGAGATGGCTTAGCAGGTCAGGGAGCTTGAAATAAAGCTTGATGCCTGAGATTGAACCTCAGTACCACATAATGGGAGGAATGACTTAACTCCTGCAAGTTGTCCTCTGACCTCCACCATGTGCTTTGTGCTCTTGCCCACATGCATGCATGTGTGGTGTGCACACATACACCCAGAGTCAATAAATAAATGTAAAAAACATTTCAAAAATAGGTTCTTAAGTTGTGGGACATATTTAAATTTCTGGTTCATAAAAAACTTTTTCCTCTGTGTTATGTATTTAAATTGGAAAGTGCTTTACTATATTCGTTGTATATATTCCTTATTACAGGTCTCATGCTTCATTCTTTCTTTAGAATTTTTAGGCTAGCATACAGATTAATAGATATTTTAATGGCTTTTCCTTTTTCTTTTTTCTTCTCTTTCTTTTTATTGATTTATTTATTTATTTTTGGTTTTTTGAAACAGGGTTTCTCTGTAGCTTTGGAGCCTGTCCTGGAACTCACTTTGTAGACCAGGTTGGCCTCGAACTCACTATGTAACCAGGAGATCCTGCCTTCTAAGTGCTGGGGTTAAAGGTGTGTGTGCCACCACTGCCTGGCTTTAATTATTTTTTGAGTCATGGTCTTGTGTAGCCTAGGCGGCCTTGAACTCACTGTGTAACCAGGATGACTCTGTCATTAAATTTTGTAATCATTCCTCTTTCCCAGTTCCCTACCTGTGTTCCCTGTACCTCTGACTAGTTCCTTTCATTATGCCAGATAGTTCTATCTCCTCTTCTACTTTCTCATCTCATGTATTCCATTAACATGCCCTCTTTCTTTACCCTTTCTCTCTTTCCTAAATTTCATACTTTTTTAATGTAATTTATTTAACATTATTTTACGTGCATTGGTGTGAAGATACCAGATCCCCCAGAACTGGAGGTACAGACAGTTGTGAGCTGCCGTGTGGGTGCTGGGAATTGAACTTGGGTCCTTTGGAAGAGCAGCCAGTGCTCCCAACCTCAGAGCCATCTCTCCAACCCCCTCTTTACCCACTCTTAAGAGTTCTTTCTCCTATCTTGTGATTCCTTTTCTAGTTTCATGATTTACACATGGATGTAGGTGTGCATGGTCTCACACACATTTATAATTTGAAATCTGGGTTCTACATATTAGAAGAAAAAACATGGTGCTTGTCTTTCTGAGTTTGGCTTATTTCACTTAATATTATGATCTTCACTTGTACCCACTTTTGAGGAAACAACTTAATTCCATTCTTTATGTCTGAATCTTTTCAGTAATTAACACGGATGTGCAAGTATCCTTTTTTGTTGACTTAGAGTCTCTTGCATAGAGGGTGGTATAGTTCGGTAATATGGTAATAATTTTAGTTGTTTGAAAACTTCAAGGTCTGGCAAGGTAACTGACCTCCTATGTTCAATACCTGGGGATCACATGGTGAAAAGAGAACTGATTCTAGAAAGTTGTCCTCTGAGTACCACATGCATTCTGTGGCTCATGCACTTGTGCACACACATACATTTTTTTTAAAGAAAACTTCTGTATATTGATGTCCATAATGACTGAATGTTGTCATTTGTTTTTCTTGATATTAGCTATTCTTACTGGTGTGGGATGGAACGTAGTGTAAATTCTAATTAGTCTTAATAATAAAAACCTAGAGTCAGATATAGGGGTAAATGTTTAAAGATTAGAGAAGTAAAGGAGCAGTCAAAGTCACATCTTACCTCCGCGACTCCTCAGACTAAAAAGGGGGTAAGCGCCTGTCTCCACTCACCTTATATTTTTCCCTCGACCCAGCCATATCACTTCTGTCTCCTGTCTGTACAGACCTCCAGATCTCTATGGTTAACTAATGGTTAACTCCATCCTCTGATCTTCAGGCAAGCCTTATTTGTTAGAGCATGAACAAAATATTACCACATTTTCCCCTTTTTGTCTAAAATAAAAAAAAGATTATAACTAATACAAGAAAAACTATATACAATAAGTACAATAACTATATAATGTATATAATATAATACATACAGGCAATAAATACATCAACAATGTCTAGTGCATAAACATTTGAAAAGTTCAGAGAAAATGCTCCATTATCTATCCTTTCTTGGTGAGCCCAAAAGGTTGTACCTAATTCACTTATTATTCTGACTTGCACTACCAAAACTATCTTTTCATGTCTCTCAACCCTGTATACTTTACACCTCTTTAGTGAATTTCTTTTCTGAATCTGGTAACAAGGAAAACTATAACTATAAAGTATTCAACTCCATCATAGACCCCAGAAGTAAATAATATTACCTGAAAAAGCAAGAAGTGCAGCAAGCGACTGCCAAAAAATGTGAGAAATGACAGAAACAGCTGGCTGCGTGGGCAGTCACCCTAGGCATCCATCTTTGGCTTACAGGCCTGGAATATCTGATAGACTTTGAAGCAGGATGTTCTGAAGGGCTGTCCTATCTTGTCTTGGCAAAGTTTGGCAGTCATTCCTGCTTGCCCAATTTGGACAGCATACTGTCAGCAGTTGAGGCAGGGGCACTTTCTTACCCAGGGGTGTAGCTAGAGTTTTCCTGCCTGGCCCACAGTCAGGACAAATCTCTGACACCCGCCAGTCCCACAGCCATTCAGACCCAGCCAAATAAACACAGAGACTTATATTGGTTACAAACTGTATGGCCGTGGCAGGCTTCTTGCTAACTGTTCTTACAGCTTAAATTAATCCATTTCTATTAATCTATACCTTGCCACGTGGCTTGTGGCTTACCGGTACTTTACATCTTCCTTGTCCTGATGGCGGCTGGCAGTGTCTCCCTCTCTCAGCCTTCCACTTCCCAGTTTTTTCTCCTCCTTGTCCCGCCTATACTTCCTGCCTGGCCACAGGCCAATCAGTGATTTATTTATTGACCAATCAGCAACACATTTGACATACAGACCATCCCTCAGCACAGGGGCTAACTTTTGTCACAAAGAAAGTAAACTCCATATGAAGTTTCTTCGATACCCATCATTTCCAAAGTAGATTGGTGCTGCCAGGAGCAGACATGTCTAACTTTCATTAAAAAAAAAATGAACCTGTGTTATTAAAATATCTTAAATGCCATATTCTGTAGATCTCTGCAGTGTTTGAAGACTACCTGTTTACCTAAAATATATCTCTGTTAAACTTTGAAAACATACCTAACATGACTACAAGTTCATTCATAATAGGTGACTCACTACTAACCTGTATTTCCTTATTATCCTAAATAGTTGGTAATAACTTTCAGGGACTACAAATTTGCATTATAGTGTTAAATGAGTTGTATAGGTATAATACCTTGAACAAGAGTAGAAATGTATTTACAAGTATGTTCTAACAAAAATAATCTTAACTTTGTATCATTATACAAAGATCCATATCAATGTAAAATATTTAAAACAAGTAGTTGCTTTTTAAAGTAGGTTTGGTAATCTACCCTTTTATCTTATCTTATCTATATTCCTGTTTTTCTTTTAAGAGTAGATTCAATAATCTACCCATTTATCTTATCACTTCTGTTTCCCCTTTTTTTTCTTTTCAAAGTAAATTCAATAATCTACCCTAATATCCAATCATATCTATATCCTTTTTTTTTCTTTTTCTATTTTTTTTAACCATTACCAATAACAACTTATAACCAACCATCCTAAGCAATGACAAATATCTGTAACCCAATGAACAACTAAAACCACTCACTCCACCTCTTGGGAATGTGAGCATCATTTTTTAAAAATTATTTCCTGCTGTCTGGGGGTGTCAGCATCTTTAGGAGAAACTGAAAAGAAAAATTTGGGTTAATTGTCAGTACCTGGGAGAGGTAGCTGTATGATTTGTTGTCCAGTCTCTATGTAATGGGAAAGTGCAGGGCTTGTCTCAAGTTCTGGCTGGAGTAGTCTGTGAGGCTGGATCATCTCAGCCAGCCGTCTCAAAATTGTCCGTATTAGTTTATAGTCCAAAGCCAATTTTACATGGTGTCTTTCAGCTTAGTGGTGTTATCGTAGTGCAGTTGGAACCATCATTGTGGAGTCCCATCATCTTTTTGGAGACTTCAGAGATTGCATTAGGCCAGATTATTTCTTTTCTTGGTAATTTATTCCGGGTAGTTCTCCCTTCTTCTTTGGATGCTTATTTGTCTAAAAATCTTTCAATTCTTGAAGATGGTTGTTTTTATTTTCATGGAAAGACAAAAACAAAACCCTGCCCCAACCCTTACTTTGGGGAAGTTCCCTTTTGACAAGTTATATCTGATCAAATGAGAAACATTTGTTAGTCGTATAAGTTAGTTTAAATTGGTCATGCTGGTTGATCAACTCTTCTAATTAAGAGCTCTCTCTCTTGTTCAAATCTAACCTTTATCAATTTTGATGGTATCCATAACAGTGCACAAAAAGATTATTTGAAAGCAGTCTTTTGCCACCTTAGGTTATTTCTATTTGCTTTAAAAATTGAAGACCATATTTCTGCAAATTGGAATAATTTAACTTTTGTTTCTTTCTGAATCCTCTCCCACCTTTTGTTTTCCTTGTCTTGTTTCTCTAGCTAAGACTTTTAAGCACTGTTTTAAATTAGAGACAATATTCTTCATTTTCTCCCATTTAGTATAATGTTGGTCAAAGGTTTTGTTGTATATAGCTTTTATTATGCTGACATACATTCCTTCTATGCCTAGCTTCTTCAAGTCGTTTATTATGAAAGAATATTGAACTTTGTTGAAGGCCTTTTGTGCATCAATTGAGTTTTTGTCTTTAAGTCTTTTTATGTGCTGTATTATACCTAATAATTTGCATATCCTTCAATTGTTTAAATAAGAAACTAAACTTTATTAATAAATCTTTCAACTATTTAAGTCAATTTTTTTTTTTTTTTTTTTTGGTTTTTCAAGACAGGGTTTCTCTGTGTAGCTTTGCGCCTTTCCTGGGACTCACTTGGTAGCCCAGGCTGGCCTCGAACTCACAGAGATCCGCCTGGCTCTGCCTCCCGAGTGCTGGGATTAAAGGCGTGCGCCACCACTGCTTGGCTTTAAGTCAATTTTTTATTCGTGAGCTTTTATGTAAAGCAATTTTTGTTTTGTGTTTTATTTCAGAAAGTATAAAAGATGAAAATCATCGTACTATGAATAAGCAGTATGAAAGAGAGAAGGAAAGACTTGCTACGGGAATAGAAGAACTACGCGCTAAGCTGATACAAATAGAAGCTGAGAATTCTGATTTGAAGGTTAACATGGCACACAGAACTAGTCAGTTTCAGCTAATTCAAGAAGAACTGCTAGAGAAAGCTTCAAATGCTAGCAAACTGGAAAATGAAGTAAGTTTGGATTTATCTGCGTATAAGTGCTAAACTTTGAGGTAGAAAAAAGTATTGCTATCGGGTTTTATAACTATTGAAATCTAGATTTATAAGGATTTGGAAAATGATACCATATCAGTTATAAATTCTTTTAAAACCATATTGGAAATGTATGTTTAATTTATAATGAAAGTAGGAAAATACTACCTAGTACCTTAACGTTCTCAAATTTGATGGAACTAATAACATATGTTTATGTAATAATAGTACGTGTTTATAGATCTAAGATTGTACATGAATATTTCTTTGGGCTGCCAACTCACAAAAAATGACACGGAGACTTATTAAGTATAAAAGGTTGGCTTATAGGTTAGGCTTGTCCCACTAGCTCTTATAACTTAAATTAATCCATTTTTATTCATCTACGTGTTGCCACGTGACTTGTGGCTTTTATCTCTCCTCCTATACATACATTTTGCTCTCTCTGTGTCTAGCTGGTGACTCTGCCTTTCTTCCCAGAGCTCTCTCTGTCCAGAAGTCCTGGCTATACCTCCTGCCTAGCTATTGGCTGTTTAGTTTTTTATTAAATCAGTCACAGTGATGTATCTTTACACAGTATAAATAAATAGCTTGCAACATTTACCCCTTTTTGTCTAAATAAAAGGGAAAGGGTTTTAACTCCAACATAGTAAAACTATATACAATAAAAACAATTATCAAGTAAGATATGCATTCACAATGTCCAGTTCATTAGTATTTGGCAAATTCTGAGAAAATATTCTATTATCTGTCTTATCTTGGTGAGTCCAAAGCTTTGTACCTAATTTACTATTTATCATGACTAAAGAAAACTATAAAAATAACTGTCTGTCTTCAAGCCTATCAAAGACATGAGAAGGATATAATATTACCTGAATAAACAGGAATTGCAGAGCAAGCAACTTCCAAACTAAGAAACAGCAGAGACATCTTGCTGCCTAGACAGTCACCCCAAGGTTCCTCTGCAACGTTGGGGCACCCATCTACAGCTTAGTGTCCTAGAATATCTGACAGACTTTTCTGTGAAGCTAGAATTTTGTCTTAACCTGTCTTGGCAATGTTCGGCAGTTGTCTTCTTTTGTGTCCTACTTTTGCAATTTGGCCAGCATACTGTCAGCAGTTGATGGAAGGGCAGTTTCTTCCAAATGGCTAGCTTTTGCCACAAAGAAAGCAAATTCCATATGGAGGTTCTTTAATGCCCATCATCCTTTTGTAAAGTAAATTGGTGCTGTCAGGAGCAGATGTGTCTCACTGTTATGAAAATCCTTATGTTATTAAAACATTTTAAATGCCATATTTTGTAGGTCTTTGAAGTTTTTGAAGATCACTTATCTATCGAAAATAGATCTCTGTATAACCTTGAAAACATACCTAACGTGACTATAAGTTTGATTGTTATAAATGACTATTAACCTGTATTTCTTTATTATCCTAACTAGCCTTCAGAGACTAAAAATTTGCATTAAATTTTTAAATGAGCGGCATAGCTACAATACCTTAAACAAGAACAGAAACAGATATACAGTATAACAAAAATAACCTTAAATTTGTATCAGTATACGAAAATCTATACCAACGTAAAATATTTGAGAATACTGGTTATTGAAAAGTAGACTGAAGCTGGGCGATGGTGGTGCATGCCTTTAATCTCAGCACTTGGGAGGCAGAGCCGGGTGGATATCTGTGAGTTTGAGTCCAGCCTTGTCTATAGAGCGAGATCCAGGATAGGCACCAAAACTACACAGAGAAACCCTGTCTCGAAACCGCCCCCCCTCCCAAAAAAGTGGACTCAACAATCCACTCCTTTAATCCTATCATTTCTATACTCTATCTCCCCTTTTTTCCTTAAGAAAGAGATCCTTGAATCAAACCCCTTTGTTTGGCTTTCTCCCTGACCATGATCACTAACGACTTGTGACCAACCCCCCTAAAAAATGACAACATCCATAACCCCTGAATGACCAAAAATCACCCACCAAACCTCCTGGGAATGTGTGCACTGTGTTTTCTAGACTGCTTCCTGTTGTCTGGGGGTGATGGACTCTTTTGGAGGACACAGAGGAAACTGAGGTAATGGTCAGTCCTGGAAAACTAGCCATAACCTTTGTTGTCCAATCTCTCTGCAATGGGAAAGATCAAGGCTTATCTGCAGTCCTGGCTAGGATAGTCTGTGAGGCTGGACATCTCAGCCAGCAGCCTTGAACCTGTTCTAGATGTAGAACTCTGAGGAAATTGCAGTAGAGTCACTCTGAGAGGCTGGATCACCTGGGTCATCCATTTCCATTTGCGTCCCCTTTTTCTGAAAGCATACTGACTTTCAAAGGTACGTACATATGTGAATTAACACAAGTATGGACTGTGCATTGTACATGAGCCAGCAAAAGATGATTTGTTTTATGTTGTGAACAAGTAAAATATATGTCACCTGTCTTGTAGTTTTTCTAGGCTTATTTATGTCTGTAGCCAAGATTTTCAGGGGGTCTGTTATGCCTGCAACATGAGCCCCCCAGAGACCACCAGGAGTCTAAGTTCATCTGCAAAAGCAAAGAACCTTTATTCGGGGAGAGCCTCGAGCTTAGTTGAGGCATGGTTTTTAAGGAGTAAAGGATGGGGAGGTAGGGGAATTCTGGATTCAGATGGGGGTTGAACTCCTGATTGGGCAGGAGTGGGGCAACAGAAGTCTTGTTATACAGGGATTGGTACTGGCATTGCTGCAAGGAAATTGGCACCTTATATACAAGTTATGTAAGCTATCCTTAATGTTCTGGAGCATCTAGTACTTGCTTGTCTCAATTCTCATTGGTCCCCTGCAGGGTACAGTTGGTGGCTTTTCCTAGTTATTGCAAAGGTGAGGCCTAGTCTCAGTATTGTTAGTTTGCAACCTGTCATGGCTGCACTAATGTTAAGTTAGGCCTCTTCAGTACCTCCCTCCCCATCAAACCTGATCTCTATCAACCTTGAATGAATCCATAGCCTTTCGTTTTCTATTTTTTAAAAAAAAAAACACAACCTCTTCCCCAAAGCAATACATTTTTTGACTTCCATTGTAAAGTTAAGGCAATTTTAAAGTTTCTAGGTTGGTTTAATTCAGCATTCCCTTCCACAATCCAGTGTCTCTCAGCAGCTGTTTTTCTCTGTTCATTAGCACTCAAAAATTCAAATAAACAAAGCACTATATAAGATCCAAACTCCCTGTGTTATATTTTCCATCTTTACTCTCTTTTTGAAGACTTTATTATTATTATTATTATTTTTTTTTTTTTTTCCGGAGATGAGGACCGAACCGAGGGCATTGCGCTTGCTGGGCAAGCGCTCTACCACTGAGCTAAATCCCCAACCCCAACTTTATTATTTTTAAACTACTTATTTTTTTCTATGACTGTCAATACCCATTTTCTTTTCTTTAGCACCTAAGCACATATTGAAACATACCTTTTTAGAGGTTTTTTTTTTATGTCTTGACCTGGCTTTACTAAGCATCTGCAGTGTTTTCTGATCACATGAGACAAATTTTAAACTGACATGTTAGTTTTTGCATGGCTCAGCCTAGTGCATAGTGCTGGCTCCAGCCTGCAGTCAGTAGCTGTTAGCTGCACCTTTATATGCCACTGAGCACCAGCCCTCCTGAGAGACTGCAAGACTAGGAAGCTACATCCAGCTCCTTGTCCAGAACTTTTCTTAGCTTTCTCAGGCCTTATGTTCGGATATTCGAGCCACCATATTGGATGCCATATATAGATGGTTATTTTTTGGGGCTGCCAGCTCACAAAAAACAATATGGAGACTTATTATTAATTATAAAAGCTCAGCCTACAGCTTAGGCTTGTCCCAGTAGCTCTTATAGCTTAAATTTTTATTCATCTATGTGTTGCCATGTGACTCATGGCTTTTATCACTCATCCTGTATGTCTTCCTCCCTCTGTGTCTGGCTGGCGACTTCGCCTTTCTTCCCAGAGCTTGTTGTGTTCCAGAAGTTCCAACTATACCTCCTGCCTAACTATTGGCTATTTAGTTTAGTTTTTTTTTTTTTTTTTTTTTGGTTTTTCGAGAAAGGGTTTCTCTGTGTAGCTTTGTGCCTTTTCCTGGAACTCACTTGGTAGCCCAGGCTGGCCTCGAACTCACAGAGATCTGCCTGGCTCTGCCTCCCGAGTGCTGGGATTAAAGGCATGTGCCACTACCGCCCGGCTTAGTTTTTTTTTTTTTTTTTTTGTTGTTGTTGTTGTTTTTTTTAATTTATTTTTTAAATTACACTCATGATATTCATTAATTACACTCATGATATTAATCACATTTGTGGTATTCATAGATTACATTCGCAGTATTCATTCAATTATATATATATTGTTCAATATATATATATAATTTTTTTTTAAATTTTAAATGCCCAATGTCATTTATTGAAGGAGGGAGGAGATCTTAAATACAGGCTCACAGCACGATGGGAGAACCCTGGAGGACAGAAGTTCGCTACTGATGTTTTACAGTCTTGCATCTAAGCTGTTAACGCCCATTATTCAGGATACACAGACAAGGAACTTCCCTTAAGCATTCAGGAGGGTGGAACCTGGCAGGGAATCAGCATAGGGAGGATATCAAGGTCAAGATCCGCAAGCAAGTCAACAGTTACCCAAAACGGGGGTCAGGGACTTACAGGTCCCCCTTTTATTAAATAATGAGCTTCTGACTTGGGTTGCGTGGGACGTCAGCAGGTCACCTTACCCATCATGGAGATGCCTGCCCAGGCCCCACAGGTGCTCTGTCTTAGGTTGGTGAGTGCCCTCCAGACGTTACCTGTCTCTGAATACTCATCATACAGGCTCAATCGTGTGTGAGCTGCAGAGTTAACTGTTGTCAAAGATCTCAAAGTGGCACTGGGCTTGCAATCTGTGTGTTCGACACAGAAAAGACCAACAGAGGTCCTATCTCACCCATAGCCAGTAGGCTAAAGGCAACTGAGCTATTCCCTTCCTTAACGAGCC